TCCAAAATAATATTTACTCCTAGGCATCCATGTTTATTTGACTTAAGCCTCAGTCACCCTTAGTTCCTAGCACTCCAAGAGCAGGATCCTGACGAGGGACTGATGGACCCAGGGCAAGCTGTGAGCTACCCTTGCTTCAAAATGGGCCAGGCCAAGCACCATAATACTTAACTATAAGTTAAGAACATGGTCATGGACAAACTCTGTCATAACCCAAAAAAGAGGTAACTGAATAAGGACCCTGCTGGGAAGAGAAACCTGGTCTGAGGACTGTGATCTGGAATATATAGTGAGATGTCCCCATTAAGAGCCAAACTTTAAGCTTAATATATCTCTTACTATGCTCATACAACATGACTGTTGCTAGAAATTTTATCAGAAGTAAATTGACTATGACTGTTTAAGTGGATTACTAACTGAGGAGAAAGCAATACACCCTGGATGAGATCCCGCCCTTGAGCGGATCTCCTAGTAATCTTGAGTAATCTCCTTAGATGAGATTTTTGTCCTTGAGAAGGAATGGCCTTTACCTCTCTTTGTTGATTTGTTCATGTTCAACCCCACCTTTGTATCCCCAGCCTACATGATTCCTATACAACTGTGCTGTAAGGGGTTGTTGGGAGAGAAGGAGGAGAAGACAACAGCAGAGGAAGAGAGAGGCAAGAGACTAAATGGAAAAAGATGATGGGTAAAAGGAAGGCAATGGCAGCAGACTGGAAGCCAGGAGACAGAGAGAGACAGAGACTGAGAAAGACAGAGGCAGGAGACTGAAGGGAAAGACAAAGACTTGGGGATAGAGAAGACACCGAGAGAGAATGAAGACTAGATATTGAGAACGAGAAGGTCAATGATGAGATGCCAAAGACAATGAGGAGAACTGAGAGTTTGGAGACTTTGAGGTCTGTGAGGAGACTTGAATGATGGAACTTTGATGACCTAGACTACGGCCATAATGATGACTACGATTATGCCCTGGAGGAGAGAGAAATAAAATCAACTACCAGGGCTGGAGCTATAGTACAGTGGGTAGGACATTTGCCTTGCACGCAGTCCACCCGGCTTCGATTCCCAGCATCCCATATGGTACCCCGAGCACCGCCAGGAGTAATTCCTGAGTGCATGAGCCAGGAGTAACCACTGAGCATCGCTGGATGTGACCCAAAAGGCAAAAACAAACATCATAGGATGTGACCCCAAAATCCCCCCCCCCAAAAAAAAAGAGAATGAGATCCAAAATCACTTTTTCTCACTAGATTAGGGGCTTAAATTAGATATGATTAGGGGCTATAGATATAGCTAGCAGGATGTAGTGAGCATGCTTTTTATGTTGGAGGCCTAGATTTGATCCTCAGCATCACATGATTCCCTGTGCACTGCCAGAAGTGACCCCACCCCCAGTCAATACACCAGGAATAGCCTCTGGGCACGTCCAGGTATGGCCCATAAATAAACCACCATCAGCAACAACAAAATAGACATATTTCCTGTCCAGTGTGTGATTGTTTGAATCTGTAATTTCAGCTGGACACTCAAGATAACCAGTGATGTTGAACACTTTTTTGTGTATCTCTTGGTCTCCTTATGTTTTCTTTGGAGATGTGTCTATTCAGTTCTTTCCCACATTTTTTTTGATGTTATCTAATTGTGGTGCTTGATATATATTGGGCATTAGCCCTTTCAGACACAGCTCTTAAGTATGACACATTCAAAGCACTTTGCATGGATTCATAATCTTTGCAATACCCTATAACTGCTACTGTTATCATCCGATTTTACAAATAAGACAAGCAGGGCACAGAGTTTCATAGTGACAGGATTCAACTGGGAATAAACCCATAAATGTTACTCCAAAGACTTTGTGCTTATCCATCACACAAACCACAAACTTTCTCTGAAGAAGTTAATGCGTAGACATGTGAAGAAGATAAGGGACGATTTAAGAAAAGTAAAGTATTATAAAAATTTTATGTCTGATGTTACTAATGAGTATAAAGGAAAACTGTGATTTTTACTTTTCCAAATACAGTATCCAATACTGTGTGTGTGTGCATGTGCTAGGCACACAAAAGCTATAATGGTTAATAAAGTAATTAATGAGTTAATTCAAATCTACTTTGCCTTTGCATTCTCTAATTTGACTCACTTATTTTAGCTGTTCCACTTGTGAATTACTCCTTCCTCAAAAAAAAACCTCATAAACTATTAGTCAATAAATGTATGCTCAATCATTCCATTAAAAAAGAATAAAAACAAACAGCAAAATCCCCAGCAAGAACAAAGATAGCTAATAACGTCTTTAGAAAAGCCAGAATTTTTCAATGCTATTGGTTGCCAGGAAAATTTAAATTTTCATTTCTCTGGCGCCCTCTGGTGTTCTGTGGCCAAATTTAATCAAGAGTACCAATGCTTCCAGGAACTGAAATATGAAACTAAAATCTGAATAAATTTTCTATATATGTAAATAAGTGTGTATGTACATATATATCTCATATCCCCGCTGTGCTCTCTCCTCATCAGTTTTTAGCCCTTCAGTTCCTGCTCACAGTGATCACACAACATAGAAAGTGCATTTATGTGTTTAGGGCAGTGTTCCCTTGAGTTTTCGGGGGAGTTACCTCCTTTGGAATCTCTCCCATACCTCTCTTGTGTTGAGACGATTCTCTAGACCTCAGACTAAGGCCCTGATTTCTCCCCCAAACTGAGAAGCTGCTGGAAGCTCTCTTTGGATGAAGGAAGTGTGCCCACTTCCTGTTCTTTCACTTTCCTTTTACTACAAGGGGCTTGGTCTCCAGTGTCTTGTAAATGTTCGCTAATGGAATAGACCTGCTTCTCAGTTCACAGCTGACCATAGGACTTGTAAGTGACACCCTAGGAGTGAACAGAAGCCTGGGAACTAAACTCAAGCCACAGAATCACCCTCCCTTTTAATGACTCAGTCTTTTTTCTTAGCTGAAACTGGATCATCCTTTGCTCTGGATAAATTGTTTCCCAAGAAGCAAATAGACTTAGGGTTGTCTGTCTCAGCAGGTTAATCAGGTTTTAGTGTATCAGATTCTTAGACTCAAACAGGAACCTGCATTATCTTGGCATGGAGCTGAATAATTAATTCTAATATATTAGTGATATTCAATTATCATAGCATAATTAATAGCAGTAACTGACTTCTGTGTGTTTAATATATACTAAATACATAGCTGATTGTTTTATATGAAACATCTCAGTTTTCATGTCTCCTATGAAGTAATATTACAATCCTTGTTTCACAAATAAAGAAATCTATTTAACAGCTATGAAAAAAACCCTTGTATTTTACAGATAAAGAAAACTTGAAGAAACATTATAATTTTGTTTGGTTTGGGGGCCACACCCAATTGTATGTAGGTCTTACTCTGGGTGGACTTGGGGGACCGTATGGGGTGCTGGATATACAACCCAGGTCAGCTGTGTGCAAAGCAAGTGCTTTACCCACTGTTCTCTCTCTAGGGCTCCTAGAGATTTTAGAGAATCTGAGTTAGTTACTGAGCTAGAAGACAGATGTTCAGATATTGGCTCTGCTGCTTTCTAGCTGGGTGATGAAGCAGAGACCACTGATCTGAAACACTAAATATCATTTCAAGACAGAACCATCTTCCACTTCCAATGTCTACAAGATTGAAAACTCTTCCTTATATCTGTATATCTTCCTTATATCTGAGTGTGAGGATACAGCTCAAGTTAACATGAATGAATCTCTAGACATTGGCACAAAGCAAGCATAATAACAGTTTCTAATTTACTGAGGATTGGAGGCCAAGATTAAGAAACTTCATCTCAGTCCAAGTTTTAGAGGATTCCCTTGGCCTCCTTCCCTTGTGCTCTTCTCTTTCCATTTGCCCTGAATTTGGGAGACCCTGATGCCCCACAGGGCTGTCACCTGATCTTAAAACCTTGAAACTAGCCAGCTGTCAGGGAAGATCACCGGTTTGTCTTTCTTGGAGTTTCTAGCTCATCTGTATACTCATTTGGCATTTAATGCGTGTTGACCTATGTTGACCTATAAAAGATATGGGCAGTATTGTTTAATTTGTACTTTAGTTTTCCCAAATATTCCTGACTCCTTTTCAAGTGATAGTGTGGCCCTCATATCTCAGGCTGATTGGCTAAGCCTAGCTAACATCTGCATATAATAATTGGAAGGAGAGGGAACACATTTTGGCTTGCTTCATTTATAAGACTGGTGTTTGAATGCAGAGAACCCAAAATGACCCCTCTTCACACTGCTATCCTCTCTTGGAGTTCAGGTTCCTGCTTGGGATTCTAGCTCTCTTCCCTGCGGGTCCTCTACCATCATCAGGTTCAGAGCAGACAGTCAATAGTGGAAACCACTCTCCTGGGCCAGGAGGGGCAGCGGCTGGCTCAGCCACCTGGAGACTGAAATAGGCCACAACCTGGGCAGGGAAACCAGTTATGCAGGGAACTCTGATGACAGCTTTTGAAAAAATACATGAGAAAATATTTGCAAGGAAGAACTTGACAGGATTCATCTGGAACGTGCGCCAGGAGAATGGAGTCCAGAGGCAGAGCCGGCAGGGCTGGAAAGTGTGATTATCCCAGAAAGGCGGGGAGCCGGCTTATTTGACGTTTGGGGTGGGTGCATGGATAAGTTTCCCAAGCGGAGAACCCGAGGTGAAGCTGTGTCCACTGCGCGGCTAGGAAAGGCAAGTTTGGAAAGGGCTGAAGGTTCGAGTCCATGGGCCGCGGGAGGCCCTGGGAGGGGGCAGACTCGCCGCGATGCTGCGTGCAAGGTCGTTGGGGAGAGCGTCCTGAGGATTGGAGGGTCTCCGAGAATCATCCCGAGGCGCTGCGCACATGCTCGCGGAGTCCACTTCCCGTGGAGGTGGGGGGTGTGACCCAGCCACCCTTCCCCTCCCACCCTGCCTCCACGTCCCGCCCCTTCTGGGCGGGGCGAAAGTCCGGGCTGCAAAGTTCCGGGAAGCCGAGTCGGGTAGGGTGCGAATGAGGGGCGGCTTCGTCAAGCCCCGTCCCCAGCCCGGCCTACCTGCAGGGGTGCCCGCCCATGGGGACTGGGCCTGGCCGCTCGGAGCCGCGGGCCGGGCGTGCTGCCCGGGTGCCCCGGGCCGTGGCGGCGGTGGTGGCGGCGGTGGCCGCGCTGGTGACCGCTCAGCTCCTGCGGGGGCTGGAGGACGCGGGGCCGGGGGCCGGTTATAGGTAACCCCTGGCGACGGGGACCGAACTGGATTCCCCATCCCCACCCCCCACCCCACGTCACCGGTTTGGGTGGAGGAGGGAGGCATCGGGCTGCCCGGGGACAGTCGAGGGCACAGGGCCTGCTGGGGGTCCTGCAGCTGGTGGCCTTAGTGCCCAGGCTACGATTCTAGACTCTTCCTTACAGGCGGCAGGTGACCCGGGCGCAGGGGACAAGCTAGAGCGCCCCGCCCTGCAGGTGACTCAGCACCTTCCCCAGGGGAACAGTGACCGAGAACAATAGCTTTTCGGGACGCACCTCACCACCCGGGTCCCCTTTTCCAAGTCCTGCGTCATCGTCATCCCCGAGCCCACGGCCTGCCTCTGCCCCCTGCAGCATGACGGACACGGTGGACGCGCTGGCCAAGCTGCGGGAAGACTTCAGGATGCAAAACAAGTCTGTCTTCATCCTGGGAGCCAGCGGGGAGACCGGCCGAGCGCTCCTGAGCGAGGTGCTCCAGCAGGGCCTGTTCGCCAGAGTCACGATCATTGGTCGGAGGAAGCTGGACCTTGACGGGGAGGCGTACAAAAACGTGGTGGGTATCCGAGCCGGGACGTCCCGGTGTAGACGCGGTGACGCTGCTGGGTAAAAAAAAAAAAAAAAAAAAAAAAATCATGCTGAGTCTGAACACGGCCCGACCAGTGCCCGGTGGTCAGACCTGCCAACACGGGACTCTGAGCGCCCTTACAGCCAGCTGGACCCCTGCGTCTGGACCCCGCAGGCCGTCCCCTCGCTGTGTGGACTTGCAGTCTACACCCTTTAGAAGGCCCCAGTCGACGTCGGAATTGGAGGCGTGGGCCATAGAAGCGCAGTTTTCAAAAAGAGCATCGTTTTATTTGGGTGGGATGGGGAGTTCCCAAGCAGCACTGAGAGGGCCCCAGAACCCCTCCCTGTAATTTTGGACCAGGTATTTCCGTGCTCCGAGCATCTCCGGGGTGCTGCTCCAGAGACAGCATCACACCCAGCACCTCAGGGGCTACACTTGCAGTTCTCCCAGGAACTCAAACTCTGGTCCTTGCACGGGCACCCCTGAAATTTCTCTTTACTGGTTTTATTATTATTATTGCTTTTTTTTTGGGTCATACCCTGCGATGCACAGGGGTTACTCCTGGCTCTGCACTCAGGAATTACTCCTGTCAGTGCTCAGGGGACCATATGGGATGCTGGGAATTGGACCCAAGTCAGCCTCTTGCAAGGCAAATGCCCTATTTGCTGTGCTATTGCTCCAGTCCCTCTTTATTGGTTTTCTCTTTCTAGCCTCTGCACACTCACGTTGTCCTCGAATGTGAAATTCTTTGCAAACTGGGGTTTGCCTGGCACCAGCAGGCTTGTCTGTTAGGGGAATTCCCCCCTCCAGTCATTTACATGGTCAAGCAGATGATACACAGGTTTCACTCGGTTGACAATCCCTGAAGCCTGAGCTTCTGCAGGTAATTGCCCCCATTTAAACCAAATTGTTTATGAACTGCAGCAAATTATCCTGTGACTGGGAGACCGCAGCACTATAGAAGTCATTCTCAAAGTTCCACAGGTAGAATATTCCAAGTAACATGATCTCCCAAGTAAATGTCGATCCCTGGAGGTCCACATTCAGGTCACTCTGCATTTGGACTCGTCCATTAGAACGTTTCCATTTAAAATGAAGTGGAGGGCCTAGGAGATAATACAGAAGATGAGGTGCTTGCCTGATCTGGGATCTATCCCTGGCATCCCATGTGGACACCCAGGCCCCACCAGGAATAAACCTTGAGCACTGCAGTGTGTGGTTCAAAAACAAAAAGTAATTAAAATGAAGTGAATCTCTTTGCTCAGATTTAGGCAGATGAAAGTGACTTTTATAGTCTGGCTTCACGTACTTATTATACACTCTTGGTCATCAGAAACTGAATTAACTTCTGTGCCTTAAGAGTCAGGCACTTTATGAAAATCAGTATTCTTCAGCATTGTATACAGTGCCAGGTAAATTTTTGGATTAAGTGGGATAGGAAATCAACCTTTTATTTGAATTACTAGATAATGGATACTTCTCAAAATTTTATTTAAGTTTCACGACAAATTTAGGAAGTTAGATGGAGGGTCCTAAATTTCAGTGTGCATGAAAATTATTATAGGTGCTTGTTGAAAGTGCGGTTTCTGAGTCAAATGTTTTAATGTGAAACCCATTCAAGCAGATCCCATTTTATTGAGTAACCCCTGTTTAATTCTAAGGCAGGTTGTTTGGGGATTAGACAGAGGAACGATTATTATTCAGATTTTACTACTGAAAAAAAGCCTGAGGCATATGATAAATGACTTGACCAAAACTATATGCCTGCTGAGTAGCAATCGAGATTTATAACTAGGCCTTGAAGATCCCGAACACTATTCTCTGTCCCTACCTTATATTGTACCTCTTAGGTATCTTTCCTGGTGAGATACAGACAGGTGTTTTGCTTTTCTTTTCATTTTGGTGCCACACCTGGTGCTATTCAGAGCTTACCCCTGGCTCTGAGCTCAAGGATCACTCCTGGCAGGCTGCGGGGATTATAGGTGGTGCCTGGTCAGCTACATGCACGGCAAACACTCTACCTGCTGTACTATCTCTTTTGTCATATTTTTCTAGTGGGAAAATTCTAATTAACCTGATTTGAGAGATCTGAATTGCTCCTATTGAAAACCATCCAGATATGGGTACTGTTGACATATTAGGGCATTGTTCATTTTCAGTTCAGAGAAATTGCTTTCTATTTTTGAGGGGGGGGAGATGAGCTTACAAAATTTGATGTAAAGTAGGCACAATGATATTCGAGAATTCCTTCAGTCCAGAAGGTATTTTGTTGTTTTGTTTAAATAGTAAGTTATAAACTCCCTTGTTCTTATTATCTAGAATCAAGAAGTAGTGGACTTTGAAAAGTTGGATGACTACAGTTCTGCCTTCCAAGGTCATGATGTTGGATTCTGTTGCTTGGGAACCACCAGAAAAAAGGCTGGGGCGGTAAGGAAGAAATATCCCTTCTCCCTTCTCTCTGCCAAGGTGTATCCATAATTGTGTTCTTTCTCATCTTACTAATTTTTTAATCACATTTGTCATGTTTAAATATAATTTTTTATTGTTTTTAGATTCTATATGCTTCCATAGTTTTTGCCTAACTTGACCAGTACTTATAAGTTCATCCATCTTTCCTTCAGAGTCATCCTTGACATTATACTGAAGACATCATAAAGATTTACATTGTCATGCTCCTTGCAAATATTGTTGTTCCTACGTCCTCTGAGTAAGGCAAATCATCATGTCTGAGTAAACGTAACGAACAATTGTAGCATTTTTTTTTGTTTTTTAATAAATGTTTTAAACCTGAGTATTTTTCTTCAACCTATTTTCATGCCAAGTTTTAAACTTCTGGGCTAGAACAACCAGAACAGAGGCACGACTCAGCTCACTCCCAGGATGACTCAGCTTCCAGCCATGATTCAGCCTCAGTTGGTGATTCAGTCTTAACTGACGCAGAACTCTTTTAATATACATTTCATTTTCTCTTTAATGGTGTTTTAAATTACATCAGCTCCTGTCCAGAAGTTATAGTTTACTACGTAGTTAGAAGTCACAGTTTTCTACATATATTCTGGGTAAGCATTAACACATCTTTATTTAATTTATACCTTGTCTATAATTTATCCTTCTGGCAGAATTTATTTGCTGGAGCTAAACCTTTTCAATATGCAGGACCACAGTACTGTCATGGGGGCTTACCCTGGCTTTTGAGAAAGGCCGATGCATCAGAATCATGAGGGGAGATTCATGGTTAAGAACAATTTTGTGAACAACCTAGGAAGCAATAACAGGACTTTTGCTCATCTGTGTTTCTCTGGGCCTCCTGGTGATCCAGTAAACAACACTTTTGGTAGGATGTCTTTCAAAAATCCTTTGCCATTTTGTCAGGCCCATCTTAGAACACAGCTGAGTTTTTAGCCCTGTGCTGGGAATTGTGGTTGAGAGAGAAGTTTGATTTCCCCGAGAATGTGCACCATCTCTATCCTGGAAAGGGTTCCATTCCTGCTCATTGGCTAGCGCAGCCTTTTCTGTCCTGAAACAAGAGGGTTGCCCTCTAAAAGCATTGAAAAGTTTTGTCCTAATCCACTGCAGGCTGCACGGTCTCACTGATCTTCGTGGTGACTCAGCAAAATAAAAACCACTGCAATAGGCATAAAGGACTTGATTTTCATGACATAAGGCAAATCTGATTTTAGGGCACTTCAGGAAGAAGTCTAAGTTGCTTTGTTATTAAAATTGGGTAACTCAATTTTAATCAGATGAATGAGTTGAATATTTTTATTATCTGGATTTTTTTTTTAAAGGTAGAATTTGTTCCTCAGCCTTCAGGCAGGCCACACAGGATCTTTTTCTCCACAAAATCAATTAGAAAAGATACAATTAATGAGAAAAAAGACTAAAAGGCCAACTACAGTCTGAAAAATGAGGTCGGACTTAGGTGACTGGAGAGGATAGTGACAGAAAGTAAGCTGACATATCCTTTAGAAAATGTTTTTGGTATTGTTTGTGTTTGAATCCTCGTTTTGTAATTTACAGTGATCCTAAGTTGAATGCACTATGAAATTTGGAAGTTGTAATCATTTGAGGCAACAGTTCACAGGATTTGTTAATTGTCATGGGTAACAGTAGTTGTTTGATGAAGCTTGGAAATCCCAAGCTCACTGTATATAGTCTTTTTGTCTGTTTGGGGGCCACACCCAGGGATACTCAGCGATACTTCCATCTCTGTGCTCAGGGATCCCTCCTGGTGGTGCTCTGGGAACCATATGGGGTGCTGGGAGTTAAACCATGGGGGTGGGGGTGAAAGGCCAGCATCCTACTGCTTTGTGCTTTGTGCTTTGTGTCAGCCACCCTCTCTGTGGAAAGGTTCACGTCAAAGCCTGTGGCAAAACCGTGACCATTCTGTTGCTGTTTCATAGTGGTAGTACCCCGTATGTTGCTTTAACAGTCTGAATTTCATCCTTGCCCAGGGACATGCTAATCTTTTCTGTATCATTCCAATTTTAGTGTATGTGCTGCCGCAGTGAGCACAACAGACCAAATTTCTATACAAGAAACTTCTAAGAAATTCGGGTTTTTGCCTCATGGTTGAAATCCTCTGAATGGTTTTATTTGGCTGCCCTTCAGCATATTACTCTTCTGGGTCATAACAATGTACCAATACAACGTGTTAGAAGCAGGATGGCGTTACCTGCTGAAATGCTCTCTCAGTTCTGAGTAAACAAGTCTTCAGGGAGTCAATAGGATTGGGTCTTCTGAGAATTGTGAGGTAATGACCATTTCTTCTTGACTTGTAGATGGCTGCCTTATTTTTCCTCACTTCAAGTGGCATATTTCCTTTGTGCTGTGACTTCCTTCAAATTTGCCCTTTTTATAAAACACTACTCAAATATGATTAAGAGCCACCCTACTCAGTAGGACCTTGTTCAAACTAATTACTTCAGTAATGACCCAATTTCTAAAAAAAAAGATCATTCAGAGGTACTGGAAGTACGGTTTTTACACATTTGGGGACCGTCTACCTGGATTTTCACTGGAACTGGTGCTAGGGGCAGGTCTAGTAATTTTCTCCAGTTCTTTGGGAAACCATTAGCTTTAATTTGGGCAGCTTAGATGTCAACCTTCCTTGCTCAGTCACAGACCATAGTGGGTCCAGTCAACGTAGTAGTGTCCTGATTTCACCCTGACACAAATCTACCGGTTCATAATCAGTTACAGGTAAAAATTTGAAATCTTTATTTATAGCAAAATTTCTTTGCAAGATTCTGCTGTTGCCAACTTGTCTGTTATTATGTCTTGTTATTTCAGAAGATACTGGGTAGTTTTAGTCTTCCTCAACTACCAGTTTTCCAAATATTATATAATCCCTTGTTTTAGTTAGTAATTTGTGTGACAGGTAAAGGTTGAAAATATCCATTGGAGATCAAATCTCTATTGGCAGTGAAGAGCAAAAACTCATGGATGCTATGTGCTTTCACCTTGTATGTACCAAGATGGGTTTGATTAATTAGTAAGAGGTAGCATGAGATAGTAGAAGACAAATACCTGAAGTTTCTTAGACTTTATTGAATAGGCAATGGCATTAATGTGATTAGTGCATCTAATATATCATTAGGCATTGTCAGAGTCCCATAATTTTTCTTTTTTTTGCTTTTTGGGTCACACTCGACAATGCACGGGGTTACTCCTGGCTCTGAACTCAGGAATTACTCCTGGTGGTGCTCAGGGGACCATATGGGACGCTGGGAATCGAACCCGGGTTGGCCGCGTGCAAGGCAAACGCCCTACCCGCTGTGCTATCGCTCCAGTCCCGAGAGTTGCATAATTTTTTATTCCAGTATTTTCTCAGGGCCAGAGAGATAGTACAAGACATAAGGTGCCTGTCTTGCATGTAGCCAACTCCAGTTCAATCCCTAGCACTGCATATGGTTTCCAGAGCCCCTGAGCACTGCTTGCTGTGAGTCAAAACCTGCTCCCCACACCCTTGCAAATAATGATATATCTTCTTATCTGGAACTTGCAAACTACAGCATATGGTCTGACCTATGGTCAAATTTTATCTGTCACACAAATTACTCACTAAAGCAAGGAATTATATAGTACCTGGAAAACTGGTAGTTGAGGGAGACTAAAACCACCCAATATCTCCTGAAATAACTAAGAGTTATAATATTACTCTTACAACTTAAGAGTAATAATATGCCAATATGCCATGACACGTGAAAATAAATTTGTATTTTAGTACCCATACACAGATTTTATTGGAACATAAGCTATTCTCCTTAATCTTATGCCTTACTGTGGCTAATCTTGTGTTATGATGGTGGAACTGTGTGACTGTAACAAAGGCCTGCAGTCCTGCCCATATTTAGTATCTCTTTTTTTATTGAAATAGCTAACTGACACCCATTGTCAGATCTGCTGTCTTTTTATATGTCTAGGTGGGGGGCCTATGAAGGGGTGAGGACCTTGATGATTCAGGGGACCCAAATCATACACTGTTTGGCTACAAAGCAGAGCAGCTGTGAGACCTTGAGTACATGGACTAGGTTCTGAGAAGCTTTGTCTACACTGAGCCAGAGGTCACCACTGAAGTCCCTTTCACCTGCAGAATGCTCCCGCCTTCATAATACATGAGAAAGAATGACCCATTTTTTTTTTCTAGTACGATCATTTTCTTCAACCAAGATTTTGTTCCTTCTACCAAATATCAGATATAGAGATGTCTTTAGGGACATAAATGTGTGGATATCTCATGGCATTTATTATCAGAACTGTTTCCTAGTCTAATTTTTGGGTTGTAATAAAAGAGAATCTGAGGCAGAAATATGGCAGGTGGGACCTTTTATAGAATATAGGTTGTGGGTCAGAGAGATAATACAGGACTTAAGGCATTTGCCTTACATGCAGCTGACCCTGGTTTAATCCCCAGCACCCAACATGGTCTTCTGTGTACCACCGGGCATGATTTCTGAGCACAGAATCAGGAATAAGACCTGAGCATGGCCAGATATGGACACTTTCCCCTGTCCCCCGCCAATAAAGAATAAAGATTTTCCCTAAAATTATGTAAAATTATGCCATTGGCCTTCTTGTCTTTTTGGTTGGTCCTGAAATACTATGTTAGAATGAGTTTTTCTTAAATTAGGCATGGGTAAAGATGATTAGAAGATATTCTTTTCAGTTCTGAAATTTTGAAAGGGCTTAAGATAAGAACAATGGAAGAATCTTTGTGGAGTCTGTGAGAATATCTCTGCTGGGAAGCTGCAGGGAAATGAATTTATAGTGGGAACTTACACAATTGCTTTTTTTTTTCTAGAAGGACCTCTGATTCTTAGCATGAGATGGACCAATCGACTATAAAATTATAAAGATAGCATAATAGCCTTACTGCTCCCAGAAAAAAATAATCTTTTCTTCTGCCATGTGGCTAGGGAAACTAAAAGATTTCTTCCAAAAATTGTATTTCTGGGAAGTGAAGTTCCTCATATTTATTTAAATTTGTAAAACTGTATTGAAGTAATATTTATAATGCAGTATAAAACCTTCTGGTTCAACATTCATTTTCGTATTTATTTGAGAACAAGAAAAAAATTTTAATAATAAGGTTTTAATCATAGCACCACTTTATCTGTGAATAGAATCTTCCACACTCCAAAGAAAATTCAAGTGTGTTGCCAGTCACAGGCTCCACATTTAAGTTTGATTTCTAAGTTCTTGAAAGCCCTTTACTTTTAAATTTTGAGTTTCATTCACCAGCTAAAAGGCCAAGCCTCAGGGTGGCGACAGTGTAATTCAAAATTTAGAGGGCCTTGGGGGGAAAAAAAAGCGTATTTATAATCAGCTTGAAGGCTCAAAGGATTTGTGAAATTGTTTTGGATTAACAGCCATTGATTGCTAATAAAACAATATTTAGCTTTGTCCCAAGAACAGCGATGGAGAAAGGTGTGGGCACCTTGTCAAGAGGGGCCATTGAGTGGCGTTGATGGGCTGAGTGTGGGGGTGTCTGAGGCAGCATGGGTGCTCGTCCTTCAAGGGGCGTTTGTCAGTTGTTCACCAGGCCCTTGAAAGGAAGGACGCCAAAGTCTGATGGCTGGGGTGGGATTGATGTGCCTTCGCTGACTAATCAGATTGAAAAAGTCCCATGGCATTTATGTCACTTTAATTTTCATCAGACAATTGAAGACGACAGCACTCTATTAAGGAGAGGATGATCCAGAACTAAAGCCAAATAAATTAGGGTCTCGGTTTAATCAAAGTGTCCCTTTACTGCCCCTGGATTAAGTGAGAGAGACAGCGTCGGTTTAGAGACCCGTGATTGGCTGAATCGTTGCCTTATTTTTTACAGACTCTAATGAAAGAAAAGGCATTTCAACAGAGACAACTGTAACAACCCTACCAAGAAATAATGTTAAAACAATAGCAATGACCAAAAAAAAAAAAAAAGGAATTTCTTTTCTTAGTCAGTGATGGAATTTATTGCGAATCACAACCTGTTATGAAAATTGGCTTTCTGATGAATTACTTGAAATGAGAAAAACCGATAGGGACGGGATATTGGGTGTTTGAGAATCTTTCTATGTAGTTTTGGAATTTATTTTTCCCTTGGCATACATACTTTCAGCAAACTCGAAGTCTAGTTAGGGAGATGGTTCTAAGAAAAATCATGTGCTTCTCTCAGAATGTGCGGAATATTAAAACTGCTTCATGACTTTTTAAATAGCACTGAGGATAGGGCGTTTGCCTTGCACGCTGCCAACCCAGGTTCTATTCTTCCGCCCCTCTCGGAGAGTCTGGCAAGCTACCGAGAGTATCTTGTCCACACGGCAAAGCCTGGCAAGCTACCCATTGATGTATTCAAGATGCCAAAAACAGTAACAGGAAGTCTCATAATTTGTTGTGAGATGTTACTGGTTCCTGATCGATCAAATTGAAGAACAACGGGAGGACAGTGCTACAGTATTTCTTTATTCCCTCTCTCTTTTTGCACTTTTTATTATTGTTGTTGCAATAACCAGGGGTTGCAGTTGATTGTGTTCCTTCGCACAGTTTTGAAAAAGCAACACTACAAGTTTAAATATGTGTGTAGAACAGGCCCAGAGCTTAGTTGTTAGGGTTAACTGTCAGAGTATGGAACACAAGAGGAGCTGATGCTGCTTCCTGGGTAAAGGGTTAAGTTTGTAAGGCAGAAAAAACCCACAGCCCTGAAGGCAGTGATCCCAAACAGCCTCTGTGAGTGCTGAGAAGGAGAGGGGGCTTTTGAGATAACCGCAATGTTGAGTTTCTTAACGGAGAGCTGGTTGCAGAGGATATTTAGTGAGTTCTAGACTTAGAATATTTACTTCACTTTATAATCTACTTGAATGTCTGGTTCTAAAAGTTTGTTTGAGCCTGGTCTCTTAAAATTGAATATAGGATTCTATTTAGAGGCTTAATTTTATGCCTCACATTTAGTGTCTTAAAAACAATGCAAATTTATATTCTGGATTATGCTGAGATAAAATTAAAAAAATCAAGGCGTTGTTTGAAATGCTTTGCCTTGTTAGAGGATCTTGAGGAAATTCCATTTCTTTACCTTTTCCATTTTTAAAAGCCACCTGTATTCTTTGGTTCATGGTTACTATCTTCATTCTGTCACAACATTTGGGTTCAGTTCTCTTACACTGCACATTCTATCCTGCTTCCCTCTTTTCCACTTTTCAGGACTCTTGTGATTATTTTGGGCCCAGGTAGGTCGTCCAGAATAATTTCTTATTTTAAGATCAGGTGAGTAATGAGTAACTAATTTAACTAACCCATTGCCATGTAACTTAGTTACAAGTCACTATTTTGTCTGCACAGTCATAAGTTAGCCATTTTCATTTAACTTGAGATAGTCTGGGATGAGAAGGATGGTAGATACAGGGAGAAGTGCAGTCATGAGTCAAGAATTTTACCTCTCTCTCTCTCTCTCTCTCTCTCTCTAATTAGTAGTTCTCCTGTTCACCGGACTTTGTTTTAATATCTCCATTATGAGGGGTTTAGACATATTTCCTAAGGTGTCTGCTAACATTTTATGAAAGATATACTAAACTAATGGAAAAGATAAGAGAAATTTTAAAACATATAAAACAAAATATTCAGGAAAAACAAACACTATAGGGAAAATTTTAAAACAACATATTCAGGAAAAACAAACACCATAGGGAAAATTTTAAGTTATTTAATTTGGGGGCCAGGGAGTACACTAGGGTCTCATACATTCATAGCATGCTCTCTACCACTGAACTACATTCCCTGTCCCCGACTGGACAAATTTTTAGTTAAAAAACAAAATAGAAGGCTTGTGATCAAGAGTTCCTTTCATCCCTGGAGTGACCCCCATTTGCCCCAGTACGATCCTTATGGTTCTACAGCTTGGGACCCCTAGCACTACCCCCAAAAGTATGCGATATACAGCCCACTGCCACCATGTATGTGACCTCTGATGAGCACTGCATACCATGTGTGGGAGCACTATAGCCAAGCATGCAATACATGGGCACCAGAGAAATAAGGATGGAGAGGGAAACATAAAAATTCAGCCCTCCAGTTAGAATTTCTGGAATCAACCCTCATTATAATAACAATCACAAGCTCTGATGAAGTTCAGCTTTCAGAGATGTCAGATTTGTCTTCAAGCCTCAAGTTTGAGAAAGCCTTATTTTATGGTGACCCCAAGAAGCTGTTACTACCTGGAATTCCTTTTTGTGGGTAGAGGGCTGTGTTCTTTAATTAGGTCCTGGAAATGGGTCTGTCTTTTATTGTTTGTACAAATTATCCCAGCCTCCTTTTACTGCTACTTTGTTCTATTTGGATTTGCCTTTTCTCCGATTTCACAAGTCTATTATTCAATCAGTTAAATATTTTTTGGAGCCAGGGGAGGAAAGACTCAGCCATTTCATGGGCTGATTCTAGACAAAGGTTTTGGCACATTTTTATTATATATGATCAGCTGAAAAATTAAGGATGCATCCTTACTAGTATGTGCAGTGTCTTGTAAAATACAAACAGAAACTGCGAGTTAAGTAGTCTTTTGATTTAATAACATCTTGTTGGGCTTTCAGTCAGGCTTTGAGACCTTACCATTTTAGAGTTTTTAGAAAATAAAAATTAAAAAAAAAACAGAGAGTTGTAAGATTATAAAGTAATTAAGAGATGAAAGAAATGTGTGAGTGAAAGAAGTTTCACAGGCCAATTTTGTTATTCTAGTTTGTTCTTTGTCGATTTGTTTTGGTGTCTGTGTTTCAATGCCATTATCCTTGGTTTTTTTTTTTTTCATTGCTATCTGGTCTTACTGCTAAAGCTGGTGCATCTAGTCTGACAGTCATACTTGGACCATTTCCCAGGGTCTGAGCCTGACCATTCACATATTGCTTGGGTGCGTTTTATTTAGATCCCCTTCCACTCCAGTTCTCCTTGCCTGTCACTCAGGCTGAGTAGTAATCTTGAACAAGAACTACAGCCTTCTGGAAGTAACTCATATCCTTTTCCCCCTTAGGAGGGATTTATTCGTGTTGATCGAGATTATGTCCTCAAGTCTGCAGAACTGGCAAAAGCTGGAGGGTGTAAGCATTTCAATTTGCTAACGTCTCAGGGAGCTGACAAGTCGAGCAACTTTTTATATCTGCAAATTAAGGTTTGTGTGCATTTCTATCTTTCATGTACTTTGCAGAGTCCTGGGTAGTGACAATACTGTATGTTTTAAACTACTAAATAATACAAGAATGCATGAAATTCATCAGGCTATGAATTTTTTTAAAACTTTCTTTTTAGGAATATATTTGTAAATGACAGTTTACAGGCTGGAGTGATAGCACAGCAGGTAGGGTGTTTGCCTTGCATGCGGCCGACCCAGGTTCGATTCCTTCTTCCCTCTTGGAGAGCCTGGCAAGCTACCAAGAGTATCCCATGCGCACGACAGAGCCTGGCAACTTCCCTGTGGCATATTTGATATTCTAAAAACAAGTCTCACAATGGAGACGTTACTGGTGCCCCCTCGAGCAAACTGATGAACAATGGGAGGACAGTTACTGTAGTGCTACTTGTAAACAGGATTGACTTAAAAGAAAAATTTCTCTTATCTTTCCCCATTAGTTTACGGCAATCATGAAATGAGTAGTAGCAGTACTTATCTTAAATATCAGCATTGAATCCTGGCATGGAAGAAACTTAGAGGCACTGGTTCTTATTTATTTATTTATTTTGCTTTTTGCATCACACCTGGCGATGCACAGGGGTTACTCCTGCAGGTCCTCAGGGGACCATATGGGATGCTGGGAATTGAACCCGGGTTGACCGCGTGCAAGGCAAACGCCCTATCTGCTGTGCTGTCCCTCCAGCCCCAAGGCACTGGTTCTTAAAACAGTTCCCTCATCGTTTGCCTAATGACTTAAAGGAATTCTCTTTTACTTATTTATTTATTTTATATTTGGGACTTTTTTTTTTAAATATTTATTTCTTTATTGAATCACTGTGGGAAAAGTTACAGAGCTTTCCGGTTTAGTCTCAGTCATGTAAATATCAAACACATTTCCCTTTACCAATACTTATTTTTAACTGCGAACCCCAATAGAACCCCACCTCCCACCCCTCCCAATTCCTGTGAGGCAGATGAGTTCTAGTTAAAACTGTATCTACTTTGACTAGATACATTGTTTCGATAGAAGATGCACAATTATTGTTTAGAGTTTACGACCCCCCCCCAATCAGATACGCTGATCAGCGTTGTGAAATGATTTGCTTTCTACAGCTGGGTTTAAGAATAAAATGATGGGTTTAAGAATAAAATTGCGGCCGCGCGGTTTTAGATTTCTGCTATTTTACTTATTAACCCTGGAAGTATTTCTATTAAAAGTTAGATAGTTAAGAGATTGGTTTCTGTGCTCTGGAGTCGTGGCCCTGCCGAAGAGCCGCTCGTGGGGGGCAGCTGGGGGGCAGTGGCGACCTCGGTCGGGCGTGAAGGACGGCCTAGAACGCCCCCCTTCCCATGAGGCCCCTGTCGCCCCCCACCCCCGGCTCAAACCTGCTGTCCACAAGGCTCCCGTGCGGCCGCCATCTTTCTTTCCAGAGAGGATTGCGATATTTGGGACATTTAACCTGAAGAAATCTGTTACAAGTTGCGCATTCTCAAAATTTTTTAAAGTTAAAATAAAGATGGAGGCTGGAGAGATAGTACAATAGGGAGGATGGTTTTTCTTGCATGTGGCTGACCTGGGTTTGATCTCTGGCACCTCACATTGTTCCCCAAGCTCCTGCCAGGAGTGATTGCTGAATACAGAGCCAAGAATAAACCCTGAGTATTGCCAGCTGTGCCCCCCCAACAAATAAAATTAAAATTTTAAAATGAATTTTAAGAAGTTCACGAACTTTTTTTTAAAAAAAGCTACTCTTAAGTGTTAACCTAAAAATTCAGGAGGCTATTTCAAGTGAAGATTGCATCTATATGGGTCCAGTTATGTTACTTTTTATACGCAGTAATATGAATATTCTTATTTATTTGACAAAGAGTGTTTCCATTTTCTTACCTTCACAGAAAATGGATGCTATAGGAACATGGGCCATGTGTTCTAACTGTTCTCTGTCCCTCCTGATGTAAAAATACCTCAGTGTGCTCACAATTTAAAAAGCTGGACTTAAGTTATTGGACTTATCCAGTGAGAAATCTTTTTACAGAGGTTTATCTAGCTTCCGCTATATATTTTCAGCATAGGATTTGAACATAGCCTTTCAGTATGGGATTTAAATTTGGGCAATCTGCGGGAGGCGCTGTGCTGCTAACCATTCTCTAATGAGTACTCCTTCTTGCAAATTCATGGGAAGGGCCTCATACAGTACCTGGATAATGGCAGAGACTTGGCAAATAAAAGTAAATGCCAGTGAAATGGAAAGAGACAGGACCTTCTGTTCACTGGGGTTGTTATGGATTAGCCATGACATGGCATTAAAAATTAGGTTCAAAAGACAGAAATGATAACCTAATTCATATTTTTGCTTCTCCAACTTGAAAAGACAGTTTTCCCTAAATGATCCTCCAAGTACTGCATTTAAGTACCTAGTGGCACATCTTGCTTTTGTTGCCAGGCGTGGGGTATTGGGTGGAGGAGTGTGGTATGGCATCCAGAACTCCAGACTTCCTCAAGTTCGGTCTAGTTCTCTGTTCTCAGCATCCGTGAACTTCAAGTTTCCTCAGATGGGGGGAAACAGCACTTTCAGAGAAGGTGATATTTTATTATTGCTTGTGCCCTTGCCCTGAAGGAATTTATAATCTTGTTTCATGATGTCTGAGCCCAGCACCAAGTTTAATCATTTGATAAAAGGTGTCGTGGGAGTCAGAGTTTAGTCACAGCATAACTCACAGCTATGATCTATTATAGGGAAGGTAGATAAAAGCAAAAATCAGCAAAGAGAAAAAGTATCTAGGGTATAGTTCGGAGGAATCTCGATTTAAGCTTCCAAAGATTTGCAGGGCTCAATTTCTCCAGCACCAGTACTGTAAACCCCTGAGCTTAGGAATCCTGAATTTTTATGGGGGTTCAGAAATGTAGGCACCCTTAGCTTAGAAAAAAGAAAATCAAGTCTTCAGCATAAACCATACTGTACAAGTAATTTAGGCCCAGGAAACTACCCCTATCAGATAGGTGATAGCCAGAATATTCCTGAAACCCAAGTTCCCAGGCAAAAACCAAAAATCAGCCTTGCCAGGTAAGTGGTCTTAGCCTGCTCTCTTGGCCCTTGATACACACTGCTAGTAGCGACAAAGCACATCTTTGTAAAAACTAAGAAGTATATGTCTACACAAAAACTTATGCATGGATGTTCGCAGCAGCATTCATAATAACAGCATTATTATGAGTAGAACCCAAATGTCCACTGATGTATGGATGAATGTAATATGCCACATCCAGACACTGCAATCATTTTCAGCTCTAAAAAAATGATACATGGGTCAGTCAGAAATATAGTAAAGGGGTTAAGGTCCTGTATGTGACTGGCCCTGGTTCAATCCCCAACACTATGTATGATCCTCAAGGTACCATAGGGGTGATCCTGATAAATGGCCCTGAGCCAGGAGTAAGTCCAGAGCACCACCAGGTGGGACCTCTGAAACAAACAACAAAAAGAATGATACATGCTACCACATGGAATAGATAAAGCTTGAAAATATCATACTATATGGGAGAAGCTAGTCACAGAAAGTACAATGTGTATGATTCCACTGAAAGTCCACAGAAGTCTATCTATATTGAGAGAAAGATGAGTGGTTGGCATGGGTTGGGACAGATTGCTATGGTACACAGTACCCAGTTTCTTCCTGAGGTGATGAAATACCTGTACCTTCAGTTATGGTGAAGGCAATACAATTCTGCAAACATACTGGAAAAAGCTTACTTTTATAAAAGATTTTTCTTTTTTTTCCTTTTAAATTAGTGAATCACTGTGAGGTACAGTTATATACTTACAAATTTTCATGCTTTCATTTCATACAATGATTGAGTACCCATTCCTCTACCAGTGCCCATTTTCTGCTACCAATGATCCCAGTATCCCTCCCACCACCCCCACCCCACCTCCCCATTCGCCACTATGGTAGGGCATTCCTTATAAAAGATTTTTTTCTTAAAGCCTTCCTAAGATGATGGGATGGAACAGATGAATTACCAAATGAATGAGAGGAACAGTAGGAGGAGAAGGTAGGAGATAGGCACAGCTTTATCCATGAGGCCTTTGGATGCCTCTGTGGCTGTGTCTTCTGGCCCTTCTGTTTGCAGAGACGCCTGGTACTGAGAATGTAGTTCAGTGGGTTCCATCCCTATCAACAAGGAGGTGTGTGTGTGTGTGTGTCTGTTTGTCTGTCTGTCTGGGTTTGGAGGAGGGAATCTTCAGCTATGCCTGGCATGAAAATTCATTATTTATTTAACAGATTAAAGCCTCTCTTAGATTTCAGTAACCCCATTATTAACGGCACAGCCTTTAATAGGAAGCAGGTTCTTTTGAGTGCTGTGGTTCTCTCTGACCAATTGGGACTACTGTATTTGAAGAGAGGCTCATGTCTGCCATCCTACAATGTTGGTTCTGGACTAATGTGATATTATTATTATCATCGTCATTTTGGTTTAGCAGCACATCATGATGCCCAGGAGTTACTATTGGATCCGCATTTAGGAATGATTCCTGGCAGGGCTTGGGGACCATATGGAATGCCAGGGATTGAACCGGGGTTGGCCATATGCAAGGCAAGTGCCCTGCCCACTGTACTATTGCTCCAGCCCCATAAGATTATTTTTAATTAATTTTTTTTATTTGGGGGGCACACCCAGTAATATTCAGGATTAACTCCTTGCTGTGCTCAGGGAGCACTCCTGGAGTGATTCAGGGTACCTCATGTGGTGCTGGGGATCAAACCCTGGACGGTAGCATCCAAGGCATACACTCATTCAACTGTACTATCTCTCCTGCCCCATGGGAAATTATTTTTTTTTATGGTTGAATTTCTAATATCTCAGCTGCCTTTGATGGGTCTGTCTTTATTTATATGCCAGCTGAGCAACTGGATTGAATTTAGCAGTTATTCATTCACTCTGTGCATCTTTTCTGTCACCTACAACAATAGGGATGAACGATCTCTTCCTTCACTGCTTAGACCTTAGAATCTAAAATTCTACTCAAGAAGATTTATTGTAAATCCTGCCCAAGCAGATTATCTTCAAATCCCCCAAATGATTCTACCAAGCATCACAGCAAATTGGTTTTGATTTTATACTGATAATCCGGTTTTTGTTACCAGGGAGAAGTGGAAGCCAAGGTTGAAGAATTAAATTTTGACCGTTACTCAATATTTCGGCCTGGGTAAGCATTCGTACAGCCTAGAGTACCCAACTGCTATCTTCTTGTTCAACGGAAGGGCCAACAACTAAGATCTCTGCAGTATGAAAGAAGTTGACTCTAAGAGGAGTTCTTCTTGGAAGGACATACTTTTTGGAGTTGCAGGAAGGGGTTGATGGTTGGTGGGTCCTGATTCAGAAACGTCCAAAATTTCCTGGGGTAGCTTTTGCTTCCTCTTTTTTTGGGGGGAGGGGTGGGCACACCGGGTTTACTCCTGGTTCTGTGCTCAGGGATCACTCCTGATGATGCTCAGAGGACTGTATGGGGTGCCGGGGGTTGAACCTGGGTCAACTACATTCAAGACCTTACTCACTGTACTGTTGCTCTGACCCTAGTTTTGCTTCCTTTAAAAGATTCCTCTTCATGCATCAAATCAAATCCTTCACCTACTATGTAACTGTTTGGGCTGCTGCAACAAATTAACAACCCAAGTTAGAAGGATTTGAACAACAGAACTTTTCCCACAATCCTGGAGGCTAGAAGTCTATGAAAAGGTGTCTTTAGGGTTGGTGTCTAAGGAGGCTTCTTTTTCTATGACCCTGGGTGCTCATAGGCTCTCCGTGTGCTTATGCAGGGAGTGAAAAGGATCTCGACTAGCTTTTCCTCTCCTGGAGGACACCTTCTGGCCAGATTAGGGTCCCACTGTTAGTACTTACATTTACCTTAACTAGCTCCCTGTCTACGCAGTCATCACACTGGGATTTAGGGCTTCAAACTACATTTAGAGGAGACACAGTTTTGTCTGTCACATCTTCTAGGAGCTGGATGCAATTTACCACATCTTCCTCTACTTTTTTCTCTTCAGAGTTCTGTTATGTGACAGGCAAGAGTCTCGCCCAGGTGAATGGTTCGTCAGGAAATTCTTTGGCTCCTTACCTGATTCTTGGGCCCGTGGGTACTCTGTACCAGTGATAACCTTGGTTAGAGCGATGCTGAACAACGCCGTGAGACCAAGTGACAAGAAGAAGGAGCTGCTGGAAAACAAGGCCATCCATGAGCTGGGGAACGCCAGCGACTCTCTCAAGCCCTAACCACACAGAAAATGCCCCTGTAAGCGTCAAGGCCCCTCACTGAATCAGTGGCTTTCATAGCCTTAAACAAGTCAGCATGCTTTAACTTTGAACTTTCACTCATCTCACCTGCCCAGATCTGGTTGGAAATGATTGTGCTATGTCCCAGTGGCTCAGTCTGGTTGTATGTGTATACACGGTATATTCTGGTTTTGTGACTGTGCAGGCGTGTGCTTATTTATTCCAAGGAAGTTGTCAGAAGTTAAGTTGCAGAAGTCCTAACTTGAACCTTTTGAATACGACTTTTTGGGGTGCAGGGACAGACATCTGTTGCTTTGTTTACATTTCCCTCGGTGCTTCTGATGCCACTAGCAGAGAGAGCTACTTTGAATTGCTTGTCTGCAGCAGTGCAAATCTTATTTACCAAGTAGATGAGATGTTTTATTATTATTTTTTGGGGGGGGCCACACCCTGTGATGCTCAGGGACTACTCCTGGCTTTGCACTCAGGAAGTACTCCTGGCAGTGCTCAGGCGACCATACGGCATGTCAGAGATTTAACTCTAATTGGCTGCATGCAAAGCAGATGCCCTACCTGCTGTACTATCCCTCTGGGCCCTGAACTCTGTTTTAAAATCATTTCCATTTGGTCTCTTGAATTATCTGGTGCTGGCTGTTTCTAACTGTATAAATGAATATGTGCCTTACTACTTGAGAATATACAATAAAGGTTATTGTATAAGTGAGCTTATATAATTCATGGGAGTATGAAATAGTATAAGTAAATGAATGGACAAGTTTGGGTGCCTCTGAGAGTATCAGAAAAATGTCCAAATAGCAGTGTGAAGATGCAGCATTTTGGCCAGTGGGGTGATAATGTAGAAGCTATCATCTATCAGTGTTTGCTCTCTGCCCTCACGTCTCCAGACAGTCCTTATAAGGCAGTACTGTGACCTCCTTATCTTAGGTGGGGAAACTGAAGCTCAGAGTGTTTAAGGGTCCAAAGCTGAAGAGCTCATTAGGATTCTAGCTTGGATCAGCCTGATACCATAACTTATATTTTCAGGCTCTCTGCAGGAGCGTCTCATCTCTATGTATTTCCAGGCAGTCCCAGGTAGTTCTTACTTCCTTCTAAGGATACATACTCCCTATTTAGGTGAATTATTTTTTTGCTCTAGAGTCTGCTGAAGTTCGAAACATCCCAGGTGTATATTGTAGATGCTGTGGAAATTGATCAAATAACTTTGCCTTCCCAAGGCAGCAGTCAAGACCAGTTTCACCACTGTCCTTTGTCATGGGATGGGATGAAATGAATGCTATGTTTCTCTTTATTTTGACCCTTCCTTGTATATCTTTTTCCTCTTCCCATAATTCTTAAAGTGTGGCATGTTGAGATGCACCTTTACTGGAGAAACCCATATACTTCCTTCCTCCATCTCCCACCTCCCATCCATAGTCTGAACTGAGCCATTCGCCCAATAATGAGTTATTCTAAAATTAGCTGGGTCTTAGAATGGGGATTCCTTTGGCTGTATGATAGAGAGCCCAAGTTTTTTCCGTAGTAACAAGCATGAGCTCCAAGAATTAAAGTAGCTCCTGGGAGGGAGGAGGCAGGCAGGTTCTGAAAACAGGTAACGCTAGTGGAGTTTTAAGTTATTCTCTACTCGTTCCTTATCCACAACCCTCCAGCTAGTCATGTTCACCATTCTGTTCTGGTCGCAAGAACTGGGTGGGATGATGGGGAAGAGTCTGTGTACACCTTTGGAGGAGAGAAAAGTGACCCCTCATGAGCCTGTTATCATGGTGAGAGGTTAAGGTTGAAGGGAGCAGTTTCTGGCTCAGACTCCAAATTGACGGACGAAGTCAACAGAATAAAATGTTATAAATAAATAAATAAAGTGACTTACCAAGGGATCCAGCAGGTGTCCCTCCAGATAGCATATGGTCAGAAAAAAGATGGGCTTTCCTAAAGAATGTTGAGTTCAGGGTCTGGAACGATAGTACAGCAGGTAGGGCTGTTTGCCTTGCACGAGGCCGACCCCGGTTCGATTCCCAGCATCCCATATGGTCCCTTGAGCACTCCCAGGATTCCTGAGTGCAGAGCCAGGAGTAACCCCTGAGCATTGTTGGGTGTGACTCAAAAAGAAAAAAGAAGTGTTGAGCTCTTTGGGGGAATGTTGGGTGGACTTGGAGAATGGTGATGAAAGACCCTGAATTCATTAATTCAGGTTATTGAGTGTCTCCTTTGTGCCAGCGGTCACGTAGGCTTGGGGGTCCTATAAGCCAAGGGATGCAGCAGATCATCTGGCAATGTCCTAGAATGGAAGGGACTTCAAAATTTGTATTTGTGGAATTCTCTCCTAGGAATTAAGGGGGAGAAGTACATTCAGAGAAGTTCAGCAAGAGTGTAAGGTATTCTTTTGATTCAGCTAATTTACCCAGAGTCTCCTAGCAGCTGGGCCACGTGTTGCATGCATGTGAAATGAAAGCAAAGCAGCACAGTCTTGTTACCTACGACACAGAAAGCAAATGGCAGGTGTATGGTACTAACCTGCTTAGAACTACAGAGCAGTGATCTAAATGAATGTAGAGCATTCTCAGCAAAGGTCTTGAGGTGGGAAAATGAACTAATAAAAGGCCAGAGTGCAGGGGTATGATGGAGGGCTGAGCTGAGATAGGTTATCAGGCAGGTGTAGGCTGACTCTGGTAGTCAGTTGGTTCATGCTGGTCGATGGGACTATAGATGGGGTACTATCCACTGCAGTCACTGCTTCACACCGAATTCTACGGCTCGTATAAATGTCAGGAAGGGGAAAAGCTATGAGTCATGGGGAAATGTGTGCTCCCTCCTCAGACTGCAGTCAGAATGTCAGCTTCCAAACATCCTGAGAGCATCACTGCCATTGCTCACAGTTGTTTCCTACTGTTTAAGGCACTTCACTAAATCCTTTCAGCCTCCACATGGCCCAGTTTTCTCACCGCCCCTGTTTTGTAGACACAGAAGAGGTTAAGAAATTCAGGAGAGTTGTCGTAGTATTCAGTCTGAGCAGAATGGTCCCAGAGTCAGTGCTCTCATAATTTATGTTTGGGACCACACCCAAAGATGCTTAGGGCCTTCTCTCGGCTCTGCACTCAAGGATCATTCCTCCAGGGCTCGGGAACCACATGGGTTGCGGGAGATGGAATCTGGTCCCGTGTGCCAGGAAAACACATTATTCCCTGTACTATCCCTCCCAACACTACATTCTGGGGACAAAACCATCAGAGAGAAAAGCAAGAGATTGCAGCTCAGTCGAGCACCGGCCTAGCACGTGTGTACTCTGGATTCCATCCTCCCCCAGCCCCCGCCATGCAAAACTAAAATCAAAACCCGCAGGCCTTTCGCCTCTCTGCACCTTCCTCACCGCCCTCCCGCCCAGCCCGCAGCTGCACCCCAGGAATCCAGGAAGCAGAGGTGAGGCCCAGGCTCGTGCCGCCCTCCCTTTAAGAGCCCATTTCCTCGAGTTAAGGGACACACAATCAAGGGCGAGAGGCCGACAGCACAACCGCTGCAGAGCGTGCCGTTTCAACTGTGGCCAGCTGGAACCAGGGGAACGGAGGATGAGCGGCAGCCCTAAGCTGCAGCAGCCAAACGCCTCTGCAAGTGCTCGATCGGCGCGCACTGCGTCAGGCCTGCGGCAGCAGGGAAAGGCGCGGCCCCGCCTCCGCCCCGCCCCGCCCCCTCACGTGACCGCCCCCGCTGCGCAGAGACCGGAAGGGCCGGCGAGGCCTCGTGCGCACGCGCGCATTCAGCGTGGGCGGGGCTCCCGAGGCCCGGCCGCGCGCGCGCGCGCGCACGCGCACGTGCCCGACGTGCCCGGAGCCGGGACTGCTCGTGGAGGCAGTGACTGTGTTTGAGAGCGCGCGCGGGCGCGCGCGTGTGTATGTGTGTGTTTGTGTGTGTGCGCGCGCGCGCGCGCGTGCTCCGTAGCCGGTTCCGCCCCTCTCAGGCGTGCAGGCGTCCCCGGGCATCCCAGCCATGTGCTCCCTAGCGTCGGGCGCTCTCGGTGGGTAACCCCTCCCGGCCCCACCACGCCGCGAGGACCCCGGCGCCCCGCGCTCCTGTGGGCCCCGAGGAGACGCCGGCATGCCCGGGCGCCGAGGGGCCTTGGCTGGCCGAGCCGCGGGGCGGGGTGGGGTCGGCTGGGGGTGGGGGTGGGAAGGGGAAGGTGCTGGGAAGGGTCGCGGCGCGCGGGCGGGGATCCCCTCCCCCCCAGCCCCCCGTTCTCTGCCTCGAGCGCCCCCCGCCCCCATCCCCCTACCCCGGGGCCCTTGGGCCCCGACACCGCTGACCCTTGCCTGTGCTAGGTGGCCGGGGCGCGCTGGAGGAAGACGAGGACCCACCCGAGCTGTCAGACAGCGGCGAAGAGGCCGCCTGGGAGGACGAGGACGATGCCGAGCCCCCCCACGACAAGCAGCAGACCCCCTGCCTGTTCTGTGACAGGTTCGTCCGTCTCAGCTACACACACTGGAGTCCTCGGGGGGAGGGGTCCCCCCCACCTCCACCCCGACGCGTGGGGACTGCATAGCGGGCTCAGGAACACTCCCCCCACCGAGCCAGCGTCCACCTGGGAGACCTCCCCGCCCCCATGCAGTGGCCCCACAGGCCTCAGTTTTCCCCAGTGTGAGATTAAGAGGGTTGCAATAGGAGCTGTGCTTCCTAAATCTGGTTGAACACCACGGTTCCGTGAGACCAAAAAAAGAAAGTTGAAATTGCATCATAGTTCTTGGAAATCAGGGAGTGAGTCTGGAAATTTCTAGAAGATAGGCACTCTCTGGTGACCCATGAGTGACAGGTTTGGGAGCCACTGTTAACCCTTAGAACCCTTCCAGTTTTGCAGGACAGGTTCTCCGGCATCACATTTCTGTCTGCTTCAGTTTCTTGGTTCATCTTCGGGCCCTTGATAAAGGTCCGTCGAAGGGGAGGGAATTGATGTCCTTTTCACTTGAGGAGAGAGAACTGCCAACCTGGTTACAAAGCTTTGGCTTATTCTCTCTCCAGATCCGTGTGCTTTCCCCGTCAAGTTTTGTCTCTTCACTTCTCTGAACAAGCTTTGCTTTTGGCCACGCTCTTGGGCAGGTGGTGATGAAAAAGGCCAGGTTGGCATTGCAGCGTTGCTTTAATAAAACATCTTCCTTTAGCCTTTGAGTTTGGGGTTGGTACTGGCTGCTGGTACATTAGCTCCTCTTGATTCAGCATTATTCTCACGTGTCACCACATCTCCGTGGGAGACTCTGTTTGCATCTACTTTAGACAAGTATGCACTTCTCTATGATAGGCTGCATAAATATGCTGCAAAAATAACCAAGCTCAGGAAATGCTGAAAAACAAACGCAGCATTCTGTGAGAAGCATATGGAAGAATGCAGCTGTCTTCTCCTAATCTTATGTGCCCTTTAATTTTGCATATCACATATTGAAGAAGCATGGTCCTCACACTGTCTATATTGTAATTACGTTGGCACACTGCAAAGTCACTAGAAATTTATTAAGTGCTTTGCGGTTGCACCAATAGTAAAATTAAGTTTTGTGCTTTATTTCTAAATGAAGTTACAGCTGTGCCAATTCAGAGTCTCTGGGAACAGACAGAAAGAATCTCTCCTAGGGAATTTTCATTTCCTGACAAACAGAATCTGGCAAAGGGAGTATTCCTTAAAAGACTTTCAGAGCTATTATTTGGCAAATAATCTGGACAAGATAGTTCGAGAGACTGCCACCTACCAATTCCCTTTTGAAGTGCTTTCTCTTAAGTGTAGGAATGCTTTTTTATTTTTCTTTAATTGAAAAAAAAAAAACCCAAAAAGTAGTAAACAGTGGAGCAAAAAATGGATAAGTTTTAGGAAATGCATTTGTAAACTTCTCTCAGTGATAGTCCATGAAGCTATTGCTTGATTTTTCAGGTTATTTACATCTGCAGAAGAAACATTTTCACACTGTAAGACTGAACATCAGTTTAATATTGGTAACATGGTCCATAAGCATGGTAAGTATTTTCTAACATAAAGAAAAATTTAGCTGTGAAATTTAAGTTGAACATTTTTTCACAGTTTTCCTAAACAAATCCAATGTGATGAAGCATAGCAACAACTTACCTAATGAAATTAGAGGGTTTTTTTTTAAATGGTGGGCATTTAAAAGACCACACCTGTCTGATGGTGTTCAGGAGTTATTCCTGGCTGTACTCTGGACCATGAGTGATGCTGAAGATCAAATTGGGGTCCGCTGCATTCAAGGCAAGTGCTTTAAATCCCGTACTACCGCTCAAACTCTGAAAATAAAGTGGTCCATGGAGGAGGGTCAATAATAGAATGTTGTTTTAGATGGTTTACTGTATTAAAGCTTATATTGACTAAAAAGGAGAAAAAAAATTAGTATGTGATTGTGTTTTTATCATTTTCGAATTAGGAAAAGCAAGAAGAGAGTTAGATTTTGTATTGTAGCACTGTCATCCCCCTTTTCATCGATTTGTTTGAGCGGGCACCAGTAATGTCACCATTGTGAGACTGTTACTGTTTTTGGCATATCGAATATGCTACGGGTCGCTTGCCAGGCTTTGCCGTGTGGGCGGGATACTATGGATAGCTTGCCCGGCTCTTAGCGACGAAGGAATTGAACCTGGGTCAGACGCCTACAAGGCAAACACCTTACCCAAAAGAAAATTTAACAAGATCAACAGGGTGATTTTAAGGCAGATAGAATTGAATTTTCTTTTAGAAAAGACATCAAGCAATTAACACCTATTTATTTATTTATTTTGTTTTTGGGCCATATCTGGAGGTGCTCAGGATATAGTCTTGGCTATTCTCAGGGAGAGTTGCCTGGGGCACCACATGTGCCAGGGACTAAGCCTGGTTGGCTACGTGCAAGACAAGTACTTTCCTACTCCAGCCCCAGGATTGAGGTTTATTAGGATTTGGATAGATGTATGGAGTGATGAAATTAACTTGGTCAATAAAATATTTAGATTTTATTTGCATGTAAACATACATAAAGCTTTCTGCTCCTTTTGGTGGATATAACTAAAACTGGAGAGGATTTTGTCGGAAGATAGTTAATAGGGGTAAGATGTTGGTCTTAGCTAAAAGTGATGTTTATTCAAATCCAGGTGTTTCTGAAAATCAGGAAGATTTAATCTCACTGTTTTTTTCCTCCATGTTTTTAATGTATATTTTAAAACTGAACTAGAATCTCTTTAAGTATAGTTTTGTGGAATAGGGAGATAGCTTAAAGGCATTGGAGTGCATGACGTGCCTGCTGGGATTTTGGGTGCAATCCCTGGCACTGCATGGTTTCCCCCAGCAGCCCCAGAATCGTCACTGTAAGTAGCCCCCCCCCCCTTTGCTCAAAACAAAACACACAGATGCACAATTTGTGTGTGTGTGTGTGTGTGTGTGTGTGTGTTTCACTAACCAAGTATATAACTTGGACTGTGAGATATTTTCCAGTTTTTTTCTTATAGTGACCAATATTCTGTTGGCTGGATGGGCTCTTGTTTTTAAGATTGCTTTCTTGGAACTGGAGGAATAGTACAGAGTTAAGGCTCTGGCCTTGCCTGCAGCTGCCTGTAGTCCCCAGTTACATATGGTCCCTCCGAGCACCAGTGGGTGTGTTCCAAAAACTTAAGAAAAACTATACTGCATTTATTTTTTTCTTATTTTGGGTCACACCCAGCAGTACATAGGGCTTACTCCTGGCTTATGCATTCAGGAATTACTCTCGGTGGTGCTCGGGGACCATATGGGATGCTGGAGATTGAACCCCAGTTGGCCGTGTGCAAGGCAAATGCCCTACCCGCTGTGCTCCAGCCCCTATACTGTTTGTTTTTTTGGGGAAGATATCAAAACTGGTTAATACGCCTCATTGTTTTTAATTTTCATCATTTGTACAGTGTACAAGTGTGTCCTGATGTAATAATACTTTGGTGATAATTTGGTAAGTACTATTTTTGGCTTTTGGCTCAAGTATGAGCTGTTAAGTACTTTAAAAAAAGTGCTGGGGGCTGGAGCGATAGCACAGAGGGTAGGGTGTTTGCTTTGCATGCGGCCAACCCGGGTTCGATTCCCAGCATCCCATATGGTCCCCTGAGCACCGCCAGGGGTAATTCCTGAGCGCAGAGCCAGGAGTGACCCCTGTGCATTGCCAGGTGTGACCCAAAAAGCAAAAAAAAAAAAAAAAGTGCAAATTTGAGAACTTAATTTTTCTGATATGTATTGTCTTAGAAGTAATTTCCTGAGCCAGGGATGTGATAAGTGGCAGAACTCATGTGAGACCCTGGAATTGCTCCCCAGCCCCCCCTCCCCCCACACACGAGTTCCTGTATTTTAGAAATGCAAGGATTGCATTACAGTTCATAACCTATGACTATTTCTCAGTTAAAATACTCAGAAATATAAATTACTGTTTTTTGTTCCCAAAAATAAGTAAAATTATAAGTCATTTAGGAAGCAGAAATATCTTAATTCTAATTAGAGATACCAGTATCAAATAGGACTGTTAAATAAAATGTATATTAAAATTGGTGAATTTTTCCCCCCCCTTTAGGACTTGAATTTTATGGATACATTAAGCTAATAAATTTCATTAGACTTAAGGTAAGCTGTAATTGAAATTTGTAGTATTTTTTTGAGAAACAAAGTACTATATAATGACTATTATAAGCAACTTAAATTTAACACATTATATGGGCATATCAGCATATCGTACCACACCAAATAAGTGGATACACTCCATACTTAATAAGCTTTTTTAAAGGAGACTTACCAGTGATACTTGAGGTGGGGTTAGAGAGACCAGGGGCCTTTTTCAGAGATGCTTGACCTAATGATGCTGGGGGCTACCAGGACCTTACCCCAAGATGCTAGGGGTGAGATGGGTTGTGGGGGCTGGGGACGAGGGTGGAGGTATGGGGTTTTGGGGGCCATTCCTGGCAGTGCTTAGGGTTTAACTCCTGACTCTGTTCCCAGGAATGGAATTACTCCTGGAGGTGTTTAGGGGACCATATGGAATCCAGCCCAGGTTGGCCGTGTGCAAGGGATGCCCACTGTTCTATTGCTCTGGCCCCTGGAGACATGTGGTTCTAGGGATCCCTGTTAGGGTCTGACGTTTGCCAGACTCCACTGGGGATGATTTCTAAAGTTATTTTAGGTACTTGGGTGGTTCTTCTGTTTTTCCAAATATTTTTTTTCTGTTTTCTACTCATAAATATTTATATTGCTACTTGCCCCTAATCCAAACAGTATAAAACTGCATTGAAACTGTTAATCATCCAGTCAAGTTAATGAAATTACAGATAGTTAAAAATACCGTAAGAGACTTTGTGTAATACAGATAAAATTTCCTTTTTTGTTTAATTGTCCTAGGTTTTTTTGTTGGAAGTAGGGTAGATATGAGTATATGCAATGAAAAGACGTATATTGTCATTAATTTTATACCAGAATCCTACAGTTGAGTACATGAATTCAATATACAACCCAGTGCCTTGGGAGAAAGAAGAGTATTTGAAACCTGTATTAGAAGATGACCTTTTGCTTCAGTTTGGTAAGAGAAATGTACTGTATTTACTTTAGTACAGACTTTCGTTATGGCAAAATGATAGGGTTTAGAGGAAAATTTGTGTCGGCATTCTCTAAAGATTGCATTAGTTTATTTCAGCAGAAAAGTCACTTAACTGATAGACACACTAACAAATACCTGGGAGGAATTAAGAAATACAAACTTGCTTAAACATTGAGTGCAAGCTGTTGTGCCACTTAGGGAGATTTGAGAGCATAATTTTAACTCCTTTTTTGGGCTCAAGAGATAGCTAAGTGGATTGGAGTTTATGCTTTTCATGCAGGAGGCCCTGGTATGAACCCTGTCACCATTTAGGTCTCCAGGCACTGAGCCAGGAGTCACCCCTGAGCACAGTTAAATGTGGCAGAAATTAACAAACATTAGCTACTTTGTAAAATCTTGAGACATCTAATTTACTGCAGTATATTTTGATGCAGAACCGATTTCATCTAAGTTTTCCCGGACTTATTCCCATAAATTCTTGTGCCTGTGACAGGGTCACTCAGTCTTTAACTCTTGGTTCTTTCCTATATCTTGCTCTATGCTATGCCTCCTTGTTGCATGGGGATCTTGTGTAAATTCTGTTGGCCTCATGTAGGTACTTTGTGAATCTGGTTAGTGGAAGGCAGAGATGAGCAAGACCATTTTAAAAAGACACATGCTTTTACAGATAATAGTTTGACAATGTGTATTTGAGCATTTCTTTGATTAGCAAGAACTGATTAGAAAGAAAGAACGGACAAAGTTACTTCCTCATCATTCACTGTGTAATGTGGGTTCAGGAAAAATTGCCCACCACCTGGGCCACATGGTGCCATTCTTGGGCCTGAAGATTCGGTCTTGCTTAGGCGCAGTAGTGCTGGATACTACCAGGGACACAGTCAGTGATGCTCAGAGGACCATGTGATGCTGGGGATTGAACTGGGATCAAGCACATTCAAGGCTTGTACTTGACTTGTACTCCTGTACTCTCTCTCCCACCTCAGATCACTTAAATGTTTTGGTTATAAGTTCAAAAAATATGAGCTATGGGCTAGATTTCTGAGATACTGTATAGCTCTAAAGTTGGTAAGTCCTGGATTGCTCCTTATTGTTTTCACAATTTCACAAGGTATATCATTTCTTTCAACCTTAAGTTACAAAAAGATGATCCCTACTTTACAAGATTATTGCAGAGGTAACACATGTTAACCTGGTGCCCTTTTGTGAGGGCAGGTACCTAAGTAAGTGAATCAGTTTTGTAGAAGTTCAGGTAAAGGAGACATGATTCAGATCTAGAGCAGTGAGAGGCCTATTCAAGAAAGTGAAGCTTGAGCTTGGCTGGTCTTCAGTGCACTGCCCGCATTTTTGATCTGGACTGCCTGGCTCTTAGTGAAGACAGGAGGAAGATACAGTCTTTCTGGCTTCGGGTTTCATTATAGACTTTCAACATAAGACAATGTGTTGGATACACTTAAAATGATTAGGCACCATTTCTCACCTCAGTTGTACTTTCTAAAATTTTATATTTGAGGGTGCCAGATGGACGGTACAGCAGATAGCACTTGACTTGCACATAGCCAACTTGGGTTCTGTCCCCACCTCCCATTTATTCCCTCACACTGCCAAGAGTGATTCCTGAGTGCAGAGTCAGGAGTAAGCCCTGCGCACCACTAGATATGACTTCTAAACAACATAAAGGTATTTTGGGGGATTTTAGATCATATCCGGTGGCATACAGGGGCTACTCCCCACTTTGGTCACAGGACCATGCAGTGTCAAGATTGAACCCAAGCCTCCTGCTTGCAAAGCCTCTCCAGCCCTTTGAGCCCAGACTATAAATTTTTTTTAAAATATGACAACAGAGTTGACAGGGATTTGGAGAGACTCTCACTGTCGTACATTGCTAATAGAATTCAGATTTGGCAATGCCTAACAAACCTAAATATACACTTGCTTTTCAGCCCAGCAGTCTCCCTTACAAGGCTCTGTTTTTTTTTTCTTTTTTTTTTTCTTTTTGGGTCACACCCGGCAATGCACAGGGGTTACTCCTGGCTCATGCACTCAGGAACTACTGGCGGTGCTTGGGGGACCATATGGGATGCTGGGCAAACGCCCTACTGCTGTGCTGTTGCTCCAGCCCCCACAAGGCTCTGTTTTGAAGATACTTTGCCAATATTTTGAAACAGAAGCTTATTTACAATGACTCAAGACTGTATGACACACATGTATATATCCTGCTGAGAGGACCTGGAAAAATCCTATAAGTAGTTAATTGCCCTAATGCCCAGCCAGATCTTGATTTAACAACACCATTCTCCAGTAAAAGGATCGCTCCTTAGAAGAGAGATTGATTTTGTAGATGGAGGGAAAATATAAAATGAATTTGAGGCATCTTGTGTCATAAAATTCTTTTAAAAAAGGGGAGGGGGACTGAAAGGTAACTCAAGGTCACACATCTAGTCTGGTCCTGCTGTTGGTAATCCCAAGAAAGAAGAGACCAGGAGATGGCTCAGTGGTTTAGGCAGCACCTAGCACAAGCACGAGGCCATGAAATTAATTGCGAGGGCCACTGCATAGGCGTCGGGTGATTCCGATCGTCTTATTGTTGGTCCCTGAAGAGGGGGAAAAATAGAAACCAAAATAAGGTCAAGTACGGAGAGATTTCTTAAGAGAATGCTGACACCGATCTGAAGGAGCCGCATTACTTTGAAGAACACAAAATGATAATATGGAGATTCAGCCTATAAAATAAATAACGGCAAGTTTCATAAATTACCAACCAAATTAAATGGGGGAAGGAACAACTCACCTTTGGAATAGCATTCCTGTTAATAAATGTACAAGGGGACTCCCACGAAGTGCGAGAGTGCATGTCTCGCATCCCTGACTATGCCCCACATCACACAGTGTGATTCCCAGCACTGCTGTTATGACCCCACTCACTGAAACCATGTGTGCAATCACCCTGGCTGGTTGTGCTTCCTGCAGACATCACAACAGGAGAGAAGGGGTGGGAGAAATAGACAATCACCTGGGGTAAATACCAAGATTTAATAACCTGCAGAAAAGATCCTCAGTGGATTCTAGTGTTAATGGAAAAATTTAAGACAAATCGATTTGAAAGCATCACCTGCCAAGAAACTTTCTGGTTACATAGGAGATGGTGACTTTCCAGTGGAATAACCCAGCAGACACCGCTTGAATCACACAGTGGACAGTAATACCACCAATGATGAGGCATATGGCCACTAGGATTCCCTTGGTATAGTGTGTGCATCGAGAATATGATGTCCTTTCTCTGCAGTTCTTTATAAGAATATAGGAGTAGCAATAAAGAGAAAATAGACAACCCACATTGAGGGACATCTGCAAAGTCACCCATCAGTGTTCTGAGAAGTGTCAAGATACGGTGTAAAATATTTTGTAATCAGTTCAAGGTGCTGGGTTTGTAAAAATCCACAATTTAAAAACTTGATGCTATTTTGTAGAGGGTTCTCAAGCAGTTCTCTGTGGGCCTTGGCCACTCTGGGCAGTAGTCAGCCCACCTCTGTTGGCTTCACGATTCAGTGTTCAGGTCTGATGAAGTGCTCCTGTTTACGCGCAGCAATGCTCTCACCCACCATGGCCACACCCAGTGATGCTCCTTGTGCTGGGCTTCATGTGGTGCTTGGGAGTAAGTGTAGGGCCTCTGCCTGTCAGGTGTGCATTTTACCAATTTGAGCTGTCTCTTCCTCCCCAGCCCTTAATATCTTTTATAGTCTTTAGGATTTTTTTCTTTCACATCTAATTCTGTCTGTTGTTGGAAAGGGAAATGTTTAAATTTGATGGATCATCTAATTTGCCTATAAGTCTCTCAGTTTTTGCTTCATTTATTTTTGAGCACTTTTTGGAGGGGGTGGTTTAGATCTACCTTGTAAACTGGTCACTTTCTGTGGTGGTTCTCATCTGCCCAAATAAAGTTGATTTGTTGTAGATGTAGATTTGATGTTGATTCATCTTACATTCGGTTTAGGACTTTGAATTAGACTGTCTTGATTAATTATAATACAGAATTTTAATGTTTACTGACTCCTTTCTTCTTTCCAAATGCACATTTTACTTTAATAAGTATTAATGCTACAATTTTTATTGCAAAAGAGGGCAAAACAAAGAAATTTGCCAAAATAACCCATTAGTTAGCTTGGTTTTAATCTATCAACTTAAGGTGGCTTGCACACGGTTTGCAAAATTTTGGAAACAAGATACGCACTTGTTTATCTTGAGAATTGTAATAGGATATAGGAAATATGCTCATCATCCCTTAATACTATGGAAATACTTTTTTGCTGAATTAAATAGTGAATGGATCTGTAGTTTTTTGAGATTCATGCAGTTTTCTGCCAATGATTAGAGATTATTGGCATACCGTATTGCCTTTAGAGTAAGCTCAACTTTGCTCCAAATTTGTGTTCAGTTTAGCCAGCTAAGAAAAACTAACAGTATACTCTTTGAATTCAAATGGAAATAATTTGGATGTTAAATGTTTCCTTAAGTAAAAATCCTTTCGCTCATATTTTTCAGCCGGCTTGTAATAGGCACTTGGTATATACTTATTTCTAATGTATTTTCACATGTTTCATTATTATAAGAGAGCCTAATAATACCCATTTATTTCTTCAGATGTCGAAGATCTGTATGAACCAGTGTCAGTCCCACTCTCATACCCCAATGGACTCAATGAAAATACATCTGTTGTTGAAAAACTGAAACATATGGAAGCCAGGGCACTGTCTGCTGAAGCTGCATTAGCCAGAGCACGTGAGGATCTGCAAAGAATGAAGTAATTTATCAATTTTACAGAAAACTCATTGTTTATCTCCCCCCAAATAATACAACGAATGACAAGGTGGATAGAATATGGAAAAACAATTCATGTACTAGAATGCACATAGTGTTTTAGTTTTAGTCATATTAAAGATGGAGCTATTTTCTTTGTTGCTACAGTTGATTAACATAAAGCTTTATAGTTTTGCACGCTTCTTTATAATTACTTTTGTACTCATGGTAATTGTTCTGCTGAGTGTTCTTTTGGGTGCTTTTATACCTTTGATGGTACCACACTTTTGATTACCCTGCTTGTAATTTCCTCCATATTACTTTCTGTCTCCAAGGGGAAAATTGGGGAAATAATATTTTTTAGGTTTGGGCTAAGATTTTTAATAGCATAATAACCTAATTTTTAAAGAGATGAAGGATAGTGGTGTCATATTTAACCCCCCAAAAAATAGTGGGGAGTGGGTAGTTTTTGCAAATAAGCATTTTTAGCATTTAGCATTTTAGCATTTTTCTATCTTAACACTACTGGATATATCCATCACCAGGGAATCTCATTAAACTGTGGATTCTGATTGAGGAAATCTGAAATGGGTCCTGAGATTTTGTATTTTTACCATATATACTTCTAGTTTTACCTATGGATTTATAAGTTGTACTCTTGATTTTGTAGTATGTCTAGCAGAAAATGTAATGTAGTTGATTATAGCTACCTTCCCGTTTCTGAAATTACGTTTTTTTTTTTATTAATTTTTTGGTTTTTGGGCCACACGTGGTGATGCTTAACCCCTTGTTTACACTTGGGAACCACTCCTGACGGTACCCGGGAGATGCCAGAGATTGAACCAGGGTAGACCACATGCAAGGCAGTTGCCTTACCTGCTATACTATATCTCTCCGGCCCCTGAAATATGATTTATGTTTTCGGTACTCAGTGTCTCTGTTTCTGCCTCTCTGGATTGCTTTAACATACTAGTTCATAAACATTTATAATTCATAGATTTGGTTTGTGGACTCAAACTCAGGGCCTTATAGATGTGAAGTGACCTAAGGTTCTTGATATGTGTGATCAAAGGGGAACCGAGTTTTTAACCTGGGACGGATGGTACAGGTGTATGGAAGTAATTCTCAGTTCACGTCTACTTTCTGACCTTTCAACTCTTTATGAGAAAATACGGTTTGAGAGTGTGTTAATAGTACTGAAATTTGATACATTTATTTGCTGAAATAAGATTTGGATAGCAGGAGAAATCATAAGGGTGGTTTTTGTTCCGCTGAAAGAGATGAACAACTTGAATTCGTAGCTGACAGCACTTTCCTGGTTTGGCGGCATTTTTGTTTACCATTAGGTGCCGTTGCTTACTGTCCAGCAGGGGGCGCTTTCAGTTGCTTTCCGGTAGTGTGGTTGACGCACTGCTCAACACACTCCACTTTGCCCTCCCTCCCCTTTCTTCCTTACCCTCTAGCCTTGCCTTTGTCCATGGTTCAGTGAACCTGTCTCAAGGGTGTATTTCAAATTGATTACAGACAATTTGCTCAAGATTTTGTGATGAACACAGATGTCAGAACCTGCTCATCATCTACTACTGCCATTGCGGATCTTCAGGAGGATGAAGACGGTGTTTATTTCAGCTCATATGGGCATTATGGGATACATGAAGAAATGCTGAAGGTTAGAAAAGAGTGCTGATGCACCAAACCCATACCAAAGGAATTAGTGGGTCCTTTAATAGAGTGTTTAATAGATCTATTTCTTTTCTAAAATGAAATCTATTTACTAGAGCCAGTCTGTTTTTTTAAATAGAGTAAAATGAGTTTTTAATATATAGGCTATCAGAGAACTAAATTTTTGTGTCTGTTGAGAACTGCTTTTGAATCTCTTTGGTGTATCACAGCGTATCTTCGGCTCAAGAGATTACTAAAACTAAAACAACAAAGTTGTTGTAAATTCTCACAATTACTGTGTGTAATATTACATTTGATTTTATTTTTCATTATTTTTTTCCCTGGCTTCCTCAGTGGTGCTACCAGGCTATCCCCAGCAGTGCCCAGGAAGTCATGCGATGCTGGGGATCAAACCCAAGGTCTTGGTGTTTTATAGGGGTGCTTGGCAGCCATTTGAGCTCTTTACCAGGCCTCCCATTTTAAATGATTAATGCCATATAGTTAAGGGCTTAAAGTGTTTGTCTTGCATACCGTCAGACTAGGTTCCAATCCCTGGCATGTATATGGTCCACTGAGCTCCACCAAGAATGGTTCCTGAGCACAGAACCAGGAGTAAGCACTGAGCACCACTTGGTGTGCCCCAGAACAAAATAAATAATGTATACAAGTTATTTCCAAAATTGGGCAAATAAAGTGTTTAAACTTGGTTGGCTTTAGCTTTTAAAATGGCAATGTTCATATAAAATAGAAGATTAGTAGCAAGTAGGTGTTTTATCAAATATTATATTACAGATTCAAAATAGCAAGTTATAATTTATCAATTCAGTAAGGTGAAAAATATCTGAAATTAGTGCTGGCAAGTAAAATTTAGTGAAAATTTTTATGATTATTTCTGTAAACTTTAAATGCCCCCATTTTTTTAAATTTCAGTGAAATAATATTTCTAAATTCTTACATAGAAGATTATTTTTGACAACCCGACAACTGTTCTTTTGAAAAATACTGTTAAGAATATTTAATATTATGTATATACTTTTGTTCTGTCAGCTTTGCAGAATCAGAGTGGATGTTTGCTGATTTGTACTAATTATAATTACACGGCGTCTTTCAAAGCAGTATCATGTCATTACTGTTACAGTTGGTTTTATTTTTTGTTATCACTTAGGTATTGTAGCATTTTGAGTAAAAAATTGTTTTAAGTTTAGCTTGAATTTTAAAGCAAATTGAATTCTTTAAAAATGACTCGGGTAAAATTTGGTGAGAATATCTTCCTTAGAGGAGATCATTTAAGCCCATGTTAGTTTCAGAACACTCTATCAACTTAAATGATATAAACCTTTTATGTTTGGGGTATGGAAATTGTGTTGGGTTTTTCAGAAAGATAAGGTCATAGTTCAGAGTACATCATTGTCTCACTCTGGTCATCAGGATAATTATTTGAGTGTATCTACATCTCTGTCCTGTTCACCTGTAACAATCCTTAACTAGAGGATCTTTATATGTGGTCATATATCTTTGATATACTTATCAATTGGAGTTTTTAATGCTATCTTTTCTCTTTTAGAGAATAACTTAAGAATCCTTAATATTTTTTGGTTGATGTGGTATGATACTATACCCTAAAACCTTTAAGTACTTTCTTAAAAACTGTTTCCTCCATTAAAAAAGACAATCCTTATATAAATCTATATGCTTTAGTTCCTCGTAGCCTGTGCAATTACTTCATCTTCAAGAAAACAAGAGGACATAGAAGTATTCATAGAAAATATGAGTATATCCCATGCAGAAGGAATAATTTATATTTTGCTAGTTTATATAATATGAATGAATATGAAATGCACCTGACATCAAGCTGTACTTAATCTCTTTTTATCCAAACAGTGCTTAACATACAAAATCTGTTTAAGGGCGTTATTAGCAAAATATTACATTATTTTCATAAATAATTTAAAATCATGAAACCATATTTATAGGACTTATTTTTATGATTAGAATGGATATGTCCTTTTGTTTCTGTTTCTTTGGGCTACCGGGTGGTGGGCCACTCTTGTCAGGCTTCGGGACTGTGTGGAGTGCTGTTGGTCAAACCCAGGTCGCTGTGTGCAAGGCAGACGTCCTATACCCACCTGCTATCATTCTGGCCCTAGGACTGATCTGTGTTTATAGAGATGTGGTTTGGGTTTTTGTTGCTTAGTTACAGATATTTTAATGATGCCATCATACCAAACATTGTGATTACAGTTATGAATGAAAGTTGGAGTTAAGATGAAGATAGTGGTTGATAAAAACTATATGTGATAGTGATTGATAGGATACTCTACATGAACTTTCAAAGTCCTTTTGCACTTTTCTTTCTGAAGAGTCATTTTTGACCCCTGTAAATCTGAGAGGCATCACTTTTTTTATTGTTGAGAAAAACATTGCTTATCCTGCAGAATATTTATTACAAACTTAAGTACAATTTATCTTTACTGCATACTCCTTACTGTGTTTGTAGTGAATCATGCATTCTGTCCACCAACACGAATTTATGAAATATTTATGCAAACTTTATAAACATTCAGATCTGAACATACATTGATACAGAATATTTTTAGTATAGTATTTTGTTCCAACTTTTCTTTTGCCTCGTCTCATCCTCATGTTTAAAAAATATTTGTAGAAATGCTTTGATGACATTTTATTGGTCTTATAAAATACCTTTCTTATTTGAGAGTTTCAGAGTTCTAATTTTGTGTTTCTTAGCTTTAAAAGGTTGATGAAAAAGATAACGTTTTAGATTTATGTTTATTACCACATTTTGCATTGAGTGTTAGTCTTCTGTTAGAATAGATATTTAGACATGATTATTTACTTGATTTTCAGGTTTAGAGTTTCTCTTGCATTAAAAAATCCTCTACAGTGTCCAACTCTGTCCACGGCCCTCTGATGTATTTTGATTTTACTGCACCGGAGTGAGCGTATACAGGAGACCCGGTGAAGGATGGTAGTGAAGCTGAGCAGCAGTGCATGGGCTGCGGACAGGAGGAAGGATGCCAGTGATTAAGTCGGGGCCGTGGGGAGGCGTGTGTTTGTTAGAGCTTTCTGAGCAGCTGCTTTCTTGACTAATGTTCATCTTTTCTGTTTCTGTTGTGTCAGCAGAAACCACTGGTTGTAATGTATGAAAAGTTTAAACGAGATAAAAATGTGTTTTTAAAAGACAATTTTTTTTTCTTGTTGTTGTTTTGGGGGTCGTACCTAGTGGTGCTCAGAGGTTAACCCTGACTCTGTGCTCCGACAACCATATGCTGTGCTGAGGGTTGAACCTGGGCCTCAGTCATGCAAAGCATGCATTTAGCCTGTTATGTGAACTCTTAGACCCAGAAAGACAGCTTCTAAATTAGGTAATCATGCTTTTTAGAGAATGGAAAAAAATTAAAGGGGTAAGGAGCTTGCTTTGTATACAGCAGACCCTGGTTTGATCCCCAGTACTACATATGTTCCCCCAAGTACATTAGGAATGATCTCTGAGCACAGAGCTAGGAGCAAGCCCTGAACACTACCAGGTGTGTCCCAAAACAGAATCAATGGTTTTTATTTAAATGTTCCATTTTTTTTTCCAAGTCATTTTAAAAATAACTTACAGGAAAAGACTTAATAAGCCTAACTTAAAATATATGGTTTATTAATCTCTGATACTGATAGAAGATTGTTTCTTGGGGATATAGATAATGTAAATGTAGCTGCCGTAGCATTTGGTTTTTCACATAATGTAAAACCAAAAGGCATTCTCAGCCTGAGATAATTTTTTTGTTTTTGCTTTTTTGGGCCATGCTCACTGTTGTTCAGGGTTTACCCCTGTACTCAGGAGTCTCTCCTGGCAGGCTCTGGGACTGTTTGGGGGTGCTGGGGATCAGACTCTTGCATGTAGGGTACATGCAAGGCAAGTACCCTACCCTACTCGGCTATCTCTTTAGCCTCAGCCTCAGGTAATTTTACCATGCTCTTTTTTTTTTTCCCCCCCCCCCCCCCCCCCCCCCCCGTCTCCCACAGCAAAACTCCTTAATACTTAATTTTCTGTCAGTATATGTTTCAACTGAGTTAATTAAAAAAGGTAATCAGCTTTGTTCACGGATCAACAAAATATCAGTTTTCAGTGCCTGCCTTTGTCACACAGTTATGTGAGATTTCAAAATGTGTAAGTCACATAATATGAACTGTAGGCCTCAAGTGACTTACAATTGCAGGCTTTTAGGGGAGGGGCTTGGCTTTTGGGTCACACTCCAAGGGGTTCAGGGGCTATTCCTAGCTCTGTACTCAGAGGACCATTGCAGTACTGGTGATTGAACCAAGGTTGGCTATATACTAGGCAGGTGCCTTACTCACTGTACTCTCTCTCCAGCCCTCCAGTTGATGAACTTGTAAGCATCATTTTCTACCATAGAAATGTCTAGGAACAAAACATGATTGTAAAGCAGGTAGATGTGGTCAGTGGGTTTATTAGAAAAATAGTCTTATTTTTAAGTTAGATTTGTCTCTTGCGTTTTTTTCTCTTGATCTTCTTATTTAAAGGATTATGTTCGTATGCTGTTAGCTTTAGTTACCAGTTAAAATATTACAGTGGCATTGTAAGTCAAAAACAAAAGTGTGTATGTTTTAGGAACTTTGATCTTACTCAAATTTAAGTCACATTCTTAAGTATTTTCTCAGGAGTAATACACAGTGTCCAGGAGAAACAATTGCTTAGACTGTGAGGACAGAACTGAAGATTGCAAAGCTGGGGCAGTTGAGGGGGTCATAGAAAGGAAGGGTTCTATGCACACTCCTGAGGAAAACTAGCACTTAGATGGTAGCTGTAGTGTAATCTTGTATGCCCCCAAACAAACTTTTACGTTTTTGGAAAGCAGTGGTACCTCAATGAATTATAAAAGTTCTTGTAACCAATTAACGTTAAGGAATGTTTTCTGAGTTTTGAATTTTCATTTGAAGGAGGAAAAATAAAAAGTGTGACTTTTTTTCCCCCTGACATGTAATAACTCTGGAAACAAGTTATGTGTGATTCCTCTCTCGGTACTTTTTATTTATCCAGACTATCCTGTAAACACATGTTTTATTTACTCTTTCTGTCTTAGGACAAAATACGAACAGAAAGTTACCGTGATTTTATATATCAAAATTCACATATCTTCAAAGACAAGGTGAGTAGTGTCTAACTCAAAAGTTATTCTTTCCATTTGTATCGTGGCAGTTGAAATTCTGTTTGGGGTCATCATTGTGGTGACAGTTGATTGAATGTGCTCGGGTTTATTTCCTGCAAGACTTGTCGTGCATGGTGCTCTCTGGTGTAGAGCCTGACAAAGCGGAAATGCTGTCATTCAGTATATTCTTTTGAAAACAAATCTCTTTATTATAGTAGCATAACTTGTAACTATGCTACTTGCCTATCTGTTAGTTTTTGCTTTAACTTTTTTTTTCTGCACTTTTGATGAATTTCAGACTTGCTAGATAATCCCCATGCCAAACCACATGTTTAATATTTTATTCTGATATGTTTACTTTTCTGTTTGTTTCGGGGGCCACACCCAGCAGGGCCCAGGGCTTGCTGCTGGCTCTGCATTCAGGAGCTACTCCTGGTGGGACTCAGACCACCATATGGCTTGCCAGGAATTAAACCCAGGCTGGCTGCATGCAAGGCAGTGCCCTACCTGCTCTACTAACTCACTGGCCCCTCCACTTTTTTTTTTTCTTAAAGAATGTATATGTTGATAATGTAACTGGCTTATGTATTAGGACCTTTCATGTGGTACCAGGATTACTGTTACGGTGCTTGTGGGATCGTGCAATGCTAGAAGTCAAAACCTGCCTCACAAGTGTGAAGTGTCTACTTTAGCACTTTGAGCTAAAGGACTATCCCTCACCTCAGTGTCAAAACACACTTTTTAAAATGGTTATTTCACACACTTTATACTACTCTACAACAGTAGCACCATTGGTGCTCTGATGTCTTTTGTTTAAAACATTTCCTATCAGTGGTTTTGAGGGCATGTGTTTGTTTTTGCAGATTCCCACTACTGAAAAATAGAAGACTTTGTATCAGTTCTTTGTACTTAAATTAATGCCTTTTATTATTATTGCAATAGAAACTTAAGAGTTTTATATAGTTCTATTTCTCTTTTTTGGTTTTGGGATCACATCTGGCAGTGCTTAGTGCTAGTCCTGGCTCAGTGCTTAGAGAACCATGCAGTGCCGGGGTTTGAACCCAGTCCTGTGAGCTGAGGAAGAGCTCATCACTTTGAGCCATCACCCTGAGCTCATAGTTTTCATATTTTTATTCAAGTGTTTAAAACTCTTTAATATACTTACCTGAAAAAACCACTTTGTATTCTTGGAAGGAAACTGTTTTACTTTATTATTATTATTCTTATTTGAGTCATACCCAGTGATGCACAGGGGTTACTCCTGGCTCGTGCACTCTGGTGTTAGGGGAACCATATGGGGTGCTGGGAATCAAACCCGGGTCAGCCACATGCAAGGCAAACGTCCTACCCACTGTGCTATCACTCCAACCCCTGTATTACTTTTAAAATTTTACCTTTTTTTTTATAATTATGCCCAGATTATTTTTTTAAATTTTTGTATTGAATCACTGTGTTCTGTTTTATTTTGTTCTACACCTAGAATTTAAACAGTCAGTGGTATGGGAATCATTAATTATGACTAGATTCTCAGGAACCAACCATATAAGTTTAGATAAGTGGTAAACCTCTTTGAATCTCATCTTAAACTTGTTCTAAAATTCTGTGATTTTTGTTATTATAAGAGGTCTGTTAGGTCTTACTTTGAGCCATCATTTTTGTTTTGTTTCTGGGCTACCACCAACAGTGCTCAGGACTACTCCCAGTTCAGTTATTAGGGGTTGCTCTTGGTCCTTGGAAATGATGTGCTGGGAATCTAACCCAGGTCTCCATCATGCAAAGCATAACGGTCCAGCAAGTTGAGCCATCTCACTGGCTTTAGAACCATCTTTTCTTAATACTTCTAATAAAAATAACTGTTAGAAAGTTTTAGGTAAAAATAGTTATCTTTGCTTTCTAATGTACTTTTGAATAGATTTTTGTCAATATAGAAGGAAATTCTGGAAGACAGTATTAATACAGAAAATTCTGAAGTGTTCAAATATTAGTACAGAATTCAAGTATTCTGTAATATTAATATAGAACTCAAGTATTAATTCATAACTCAGATTTCAAGTATTAATACAGAATTAACGTATTTTGATACAGAAATTCTGAGAGACCCATGTATTAATGCAGAAGAAAATTCTGAAAGACTCACTAATATTGAGTTTACACATATTTGTGTATGTAGAACAAGACTTGGTTCATATAAAAATGCAAGTTTTTCCACACAAAATGCTTAACAATGGAAAGCATGTACACAGTGGATAATAGTTGTATTCCTTTCACTTCTCTCAAGTCTGCTAAAGTAAAACTAGAGGGACTTTTTTGTAAATTGGAAGTTCTTTCTTCAGTTCTTTGCCTGAGATGTTTGCTTTTTACTCAGCAAGTTATAATTAGCTTTACTTTGTATTTATGGTTTCTTAGACTGTAATGTAAAATATTAAATATTGATTTTTTAGCTCCTTAAAGCACATTTTGGGCATTGTTTCCTATGATAGTTTCACAAAATCAAGAGCCCTTTTATTTGCATATTCAGGTTTTATACTACCATATATTTGAATAGCATTAGGTAATCTAGATTGCTTTTAAATTTTTTTTTATTTTGCTTTTTTTGGGTCAGCCCCAGCGATGCTCAGGGGTTACTCCTGGCTCATGCACTCAGGAATTGCTTCTGGCGTTGCTCAGGGGACCATATGGGGTGCTGGGAATCGAACCTGTGTCGGCCATGTTGGCTGCGTGCAAGGCAAACGCCCTACCCGCTGTGCTATCGCTCCAGCCCCTAGATTGCTTTTAATGTGTTGGTTCATTGTCATTTTAACATGCCATATCTAGGTAGGGCAAGTATTTATCTCCATATTATACATGAGGAAACTTAAAACCAATGGGTTAATTGACTTGCCTTAAAATGGGAAATAGAAAAAGTTACCTGAGAGTTTTTGTTTGTTGGTCTCTTATTATAGTTTAGGTAATAAAACCTGAGGGGCTTTACTTAATTGTTGCCCTTAACTCTGTATCTTAGAATTTGAATATGTTAAAATATATTTTAACTTTATGTAAAAATAAATTAACTGGTACAGGAACCAAGCTACATATTAATTCATTAATAACAGCATAATTATTTACATATGCTTCTTTAAGAAATGGGTGAAGAAGGGCTGGAGTGATAGCACAGCAGGTAGGGCGTTTGCCTTGCACGTGCCGACCCAGGTTCGATTCCCAACATATCCCATATGGTCCCCTGAGCACCACCAGGGCTAATTCCTGAGTGCCGAGCCAGGAGTGATCCCTGTGCATGGCTGGGTGTGACCCAAAAAGCCAAAAAAAAAAAAAAATGGGTAAAGTCTGGTCTCCAAGTTTTATTACTGTTGTTCCTGTTTCATTTGTCTCCATTAGGTAGACAAACTTCATATCATAGCACTAGCTTCTTTGTCATACTGGGTAATATATAGTTCAAGTTAATTATTTTTTTTTTAATTTTATGATGAAAACTCTCAGCAAAATAGGCATCGAAGGCATTTGCCTCAGTATAGTCAAAGCCATCTACCACAAGCCCACAGCAAGTTAATTATGTTAATGTTCATAATTTTATCCCTATTCCATTATAAGATTCTTTTGTTTATGAAGTTTTTTTTGAGGTCATAGAGCTTCTCTGATTTAATTTAATGGTGAGTGTCATTTAATTATCCTATCAGCCACTCATAATTAATTTCTATTTGTAGCACATTGAGGGACTTCCTCGTTAGTTGCCTTATTATATCTTTGATTATCATCTAAGCAAAAATCAGTTCCCTTCAAAGATTTTTCTTTTAGAAAAGGGAAATTGAATTCTTTCATTTTACAAAGTGTTGAGTTTAGTGTGTTAACTCTCCCTCTTTGTTTAAGTCTGTCATGACTCAAAGATTATATTTGATTATGTCAACACTTAGGCACATCCTTGACCCTGAGTCTATTGCTCTGAATTGGATTGTTGGAATAAGGGACATATCTTCCCCTGTACTTAGCTTTTTCTTCACTCATGAGTTTTGTTTGTTTGTTTTGTTTTGTTTTGTTTTGGTGGCAGTGCTCAGGGGTACTTTTTGTTCTGCACTCAAGAATCACTCTTAGTGGTGTTCTGAGGACTATATGGGATACTGGAGATTGAACCCTGGTCAGCTGTGTGCCTTACTCTCTGTACTCTAAAACCCTCTTAAAAGGTTTTCATATGGATAATTCCTTATTAACATTAATTAATGGCTCATACATCCAATATAAGAAAATCCACAGTTGTTTGTTTATATTAGAAATAAGTGCTGCACAGAAATATTTGATATTAAATATCAGTAAATAAATCTGAGAGAACAGTAATTGGATACGTTCCTAGTAGTGGACTCATAAGTTAATGAGGATACTCTGGATGGTATTAGCACTGCCAGTTTGTTTTCCATAAACTGTATGTCGATAGTCCAAATACCATTGTTAAAATACCATGCAATTAAACTACTAATATTTTTGAATTTTGCAGATGTCTTATTTCAGTGAAATGCTGGAAACTTATTTATTGCTGTGTTGTGTATGTACATCTAGTTACCCACTTTGTACCATATATTTAAGATTAATATGCTATCAAAGTATTAGGGCTGGAGCGATAGTACAGCGGTAGGGCGTTCGCCTTACAAGCGGCCAACTTGGCTGACCCGAGTTCGATTCCTCCGCCCCTCTCGGAGAGCCCGGCAAGCTACCGAGAGTATTCGATATGCCAAACACAGTAACAACAAAGTCTCCAATGGAGACGTTACTGGGCCCGCTCGAGCAAATCGACGATCAAAGGGAGGGCCTTTACCTTTTTACCTTTACCTTAATATGCTATCATTGTTTATAATACTTTATAATATAATACTGTATAATATGCAACTTTTTTTGCTCTGATTTTATTTGTAGAAAACATTATCTTGACAGTAATGTATATCTTGGCACTTAAAAGAAAAATTTTAATTTTGTATAAAAGTAGTTTCATGAGAATTTTAAAAATTAAATTCTTAATATCATATGGTGACTTTCTGCCTGCACCTAATAGCATCTAAACTTTGGTTCTTTAAATAATTTTTTCTGTCACCAATAATTGAGAATCATTTTTACAATCTGTATGCTATTTACTTTTATTGCACATATCATTAAAATCAAGTAATTTTTTTAATTTAAATTTTATTTCCCCTTATACTTTATATAAACATTGTGGTTTACAGAGTTGTTGTTCATGATGATTTGATACAGATTTTCAATATTCCAGCACTGATCCCACCACTATTGCGCCTTCCTCCCACCATTATTTCCAATTTTCCCAGCCACCCTTTAAGCCTGCCCCCATGAATTGAGTAATTTTTTTAAATGGAAGGGTTATGATTATTTTCCTCCTCTTCATGTCTTTTATAACTTTTAAATTGTACTAGATTACAAACTTTTTAAAAACATTGTATTGGATTAGGCTGTCCTGCTTAAGTTAGTTCCTGTTATTTCAACTCAAAAAAGTATTTCCATTAAAATTTAGAATTAAGGGGGATCAGGGGTGTGCTTCTTCTATAGGAGGTCCTGGGATTGGTCCCTTGGTACCCCCTCCAAATATGCCAAACACAGTAACAACAAGCCTCAACAATGGAGACGTTGCTGGGCCTGCTCGAGCAAATCGATGGACAAGGGGATGACAGTGACAGTGACAAGCATAGACTATTCATGCAGTAGATATTTAACGAACAATTTTTCTGTATTATAAAGTCTATGTAAATTGCTTATTTCATATCAAGCATCTTAAATTTCACATTCAACAGTGACTGTAAAAAACTATTGTTATGAATTTAAATGATCTATTGTGAGAAGATCTTCAGTTTTCTATAAGTATAAATTACTGCTATTTTTAATTGGTCACATTGAAAAAGTCTTAATTTTATTATTATTTTTTAATTGAGTAATTGTGGACTACAAGGTTATTTATAATTGTGTTTCAGGCATACCAGGTCCCAACACCAATCTCTTCACCAGCGTCCACGTCCCTCCACCAGTGTCCCCAGTTTCTCCGCAGACCCCTCTTCCTGCATCTGTGGCAGGCCCTTTTTTTTCCCCCCTTTTAGGCACTGTAGTTTACAGTACTGTTATTGCTAGGGTATTATGCATATCAGTTTACCACTTTTCAGCACCCCCCTTCCTCCCTGAATCATGTTGAAAATTTTTATTGTGATCTACTTCTAGCCAGAATTTTTTTTTAAATTTTTATTAGTGAGACACTAATAACATATTGTACAATAATATATTGTACAATAATCAATTATACAATGATCAAATGATCAAATACCCATCCCTCCACCAGTGCCCATTTCCCACCACCATGGATCCCAGTATCCCTCCCACCTCCCATCTCCCCCATCCCACTCTGTCTCTGTGATAGGGCATTCCCCTCTGTTCTCTCTCTCCTTTTGGGTATTGTGGTTTGCAAAAGAGGCATTGAGTTAGCCAGAAAATTTTTGTTGTGATCTATTTCTAGCCAGCAACACCATGATATATGAATAATTTATAACAGATGACTTTCTCATTAACATCATTTTTCTTCTCCAGGTAGTTTTGGATGTTGGTTGTGGAACTGGAATCCTGTCTATGTTTGCTGCTAAAGCTGGAGCTAAGAAAGTTTTTGGAGTTGACCAATCTGAAATACTTTACCAGGCAATGGATATCATAAGGTAGGTAACTGGCGATCTTGTGGGGAGAGGCTTCCCAAGTAGTATTCAGTAGACTTCGTCCAGCTCTGCAGATTTGACGTTCTGTGCATAGACAGTAATGTGGTGCTGCTCTGACACAGCACCTGTTCTTGGACATTTGGATTGTTTTCAGATGTTGGCTGTTGTGACTGGGCTGCAGTGAACATAAGAGTGGAAATGTCTTTTTTGCGTAATTTTTAGACCCTTGGGGTAGATGCCCAGTGTGGGACTGCTGGGTCATTTGGAAGTGCAATTCCTAGTTTTTTGAGAAGTGTTTGCGTTGTTTTCCGGAAAGGTTGGAGCATTTGACATTCCCACCAACAGTGAATGAGAGTTTTTTTTTTTTTACCCCCACATCCATGCCAACATTGGTTGTTTCATTTTTTGATATGTGTTCCAGTCTCACTGGAATGAGGCGGTATCTTGTTGTTTTGCTTTGCATTTACTTTCCAAATGATCAGTCATGCACATTGTTCCATATACCTGTTTATGTGCCTTTTTTGAGAAAATCTCTGTTCTGATTTCCTCTTATTTTTTTATTATTATTTTTTTATTCAGGTTTGTCAGTTCTTTATTCTTGGAAATTATCCCTTTATCAGATGGGTGCTGGGTACATATTTTCTCCCAGTCTTTTGGGTGTCTTTTTTATTCTGGTCATTGTTTCTTTTGTAGTGTAGAAGCCTCTTAATCTGATTTAGTCCTGTTAGTTTATCCTGGCTTCTGTTTGCTTTGCAAGTGGCATTAAATCATTGGAGATGGGATACAAGGAATATTTAACATATGTTATACATTTAACATATGCAAATCAGTCAACCTAATAAATCAGATAAGTACAAGAAAAAAATAAAAATTATAAGATCATGTCAAAAGTTTCAGAGAAAGCATTTGACAAGATCCAGCATCCGTTGATAAAAACACTCACTAGAATGGAGATAGAAGAAACCTTGCTCAATATAGTTCAAGTCATTTACCATGAATCCACAGCTAACATCATACTTAATAATGAGAATCTGAAAGCCTTTATGTTAATCTGAGGCACTAGGCATTGTTGCCTGCTCTAAGCACTGCTACTCAGTATAAGTATTCAAAACCCTTGCCATAGCATTTGGGCAAGAAAGATATCAAGGTCATCCCAGATTGGAAAAGAAGGAACCAGATTATTATTTGCAGATGACATGATGTCCCCTGAGCACAAAGTCAGGAGTAAGCCCCGAGCATCACCCAGTATGGCCCCAGTTCCTCCCTTTCCCCCCCCAAAATACTCGAAATTTAGAAATGTTAGGATTTCCTTTTAGAAATAAAAATTGTATAGTATAGCACTGCTGGGTGTGGCCCTCCCTCTCACTTCTCCACCAGCCAAATAAGAAAAGAAAGTCAAGCACAGAGATGACTAAATTCTTATTTGAAGGGGCTGGGATTATATTACAGACACCTGGCTTATAGTTTATTTTCATAGCCAGTTTGCTGTACTGTATTCCCATTGAATTACTTAGTGGCCTTGTGTTAGTTACGTTTAATAACTTGCTTTCCCTAAAACCATAGGCCCTCCCGTTGATCATCGATTTGCTCGAGCGGGCCCAGTAACATCTCCATTGGAGACTTTGTTGTTACTGTGTCTGGCATATCGAATACTCTCGGTAGCTTGCCGGGCTCTCCGAGAGGGGCGGAGGAATCGAACTCGGGTCGGCCATGTTGGCTACGTGCAAGGCAGACGCCCTACCCGCTGTGCTATCGCTCCAGCCCTAGACTTTGAAAAACAGACATTTAGAGGGGATAAGCCAGCATTCTACATTCTTCCGATATGTTCTTTGTCCTTCCTTGTTTTTTTTTTTTGTAAAGAATGCTTTTTTTTTTTTTTTGAAGGATGGGCATTGGTTTGGGCCATACCTGGCCGTTCTCTTGACTCTGCTCAGGAATCACTCCTGACAGTGTTCCAGGGACTATAGGCTGTGCCGGGATTTAGGGACTGAATTAGAGTCAGCCACATGCAAAGCAGGTACCTTTAAGTGCCATATATTGTCTTGACCCCATTGCTACTTCCATAGTGTTCATATGCATTTTCTCCTTTGTTGTCCATTCAAAAATTTAAATTTACACAGTGAAATGGAGTAATAGGGAATTTTTGTTTTGGTTGTGAATCTATGTATCAGAGTGTACAACAAATGGTTTGTTGTTGGTATTTTTACAATTTGTTGCTTATTATTTTTGTTGAGGAGGACATATCTTAGCATCTAGTGTCACATGATGTGAGGTTTGATTTTAGATCTTTGACTTTATAGTGGCATATTCTTTCATCTCTGGTTTCTGAGATTTACAATAGTATTTATCTCATGTTATAAGCGTTGAGCCATTTTTTTTTGGTAAAGGGACATATAACTGCTTATTAAAGTGTAATAATTATAATTTCAGTTGGTAGAGATATGGTATGTTTGAATTAGAACTAGTTCCTCAAACAATTCTTTATTTGATTGATTGTTCTAAAATGGTCATTTGTTACAGTTGTCCCTTCAAGCTGTGATCACTCTCCTTTCTGTATTTTTATTTTCACAATTTTCTTGACTGTAACACTTAAAGCTGATATTTATCATTCAGTAAAAATAGTTCTTGCAGTTAGTAGTCTGTGATTTTTTTCTTTAGTCCTTGTAAGACTTCTATGTCAGAATATATATATATATATATATATATATATATATATATATGCAGAATTTCTAGAAAGCTCCGTAAACTCATGTATGTGTAAAAAGCACTTAAAATTTTTATATATTCACAGGGCTAGAAAGATAGCATGGGAGTAAGGCCCTTGCTTGCATGCAGCCAACTCTGGTCTGATATCCAGTACTATATGGTACTCTGAGCATTGCTGGGTGCAACCCTTGAAGTTCCCAAACACTGTGTGTCCTGGCCGATCCCTGGCACTCCAGGGCCTGAACAGCACTCACTACCTTTTCAAGTCTTGCATTTAAACATGGGCCTGGTTGATTCAGCATTCAAGAGGGATCCTCAGCCTCCTGAATACTATTTGGAAAGCCCCCCAATAGAAATAAATTCAATTCAATATTTCTTTGATGCTCATAGAACACATTTTCTTCTAAATAAACCTGTTTCTAAATCTCCAGGACTTTTTGAGGTATTGGGGGGTTTTGGGCCACACTGTGTGATTCTCAGGGCTTTCTCCTTACTCTGCTCAGGGATCCCTCCTGGACGGTGGACCATAGCAGTTAGGAGAATGAAATCAGGTTTGGTTGTGTGCAAGACAAGTGCTTTAATCCCTTATAGTATCTTAAGGTTTTAAAGCCTAAGAATATTCAGGCTTATGATTTTGAGATTGTGTATATGAATAAAGTAGAAAATGGATTTTCAAAGGTTTGACATTAGGAGCAAATAGAACTCTTAAAGTATATGTGTATATATGTGTATGTGTATGTATATATATATGGATAAGATATGTGTATATATATGGGATGAGAAATTATTTCTTAGTTTTGATGTCATCTTTTGAACTTCACAGTAAATGATCATTTTATTTATTTATTTAATTTATTATTTTTTTGTTAGTGAAACACCATGAGGTAAGTTGTAGACTTACAGATTTTTGTGCTTGGGTTTTAGTAAATGACCATTTTAGAACATAAACTCACCTAAGGATAGCAAAACTGTTCGTTGCCAGACAGTGTATACTGTGTTCACTCTCAGTAAGCAGAGATAATTTGTAGTAATGTTTTTATCGTTATTCTGACTGCCTTTGGTTTCTCATTGACTCAGCCATGGAATAACTCATTATTTTGACTTTTGGATGCTTTGCTGAAGAGTGTTCATGGGGAGGTTGATCCATCATAGTGCTACAGTGCAGTACTTTCAATCTTAGTGTGGCATTAAAGATGCAATCTTTTATATCACCCCTGTTTAGAATATTTGAGAAATGAAGCATTAAGAAAAGCTACAGAATATTTTGAAATTTTGTCATGTTTATATAAGTGTCCTTTTCTAGATTCTAGGACAGGAGCATTCGCTTCTTTATCTTTTTTGTCCCTAAACTTAGCTTAAGTGTTCTATACGTGATAGATACTTAGTAAAGGTTATTGAGCAGAATAAAGTAAATTATGAGCATTGTGATTTATTTTAATTAAAAACATCTGAAATGTCCCCTTCCCTTTGTTGCAGTGACTAGGGGGTAGGTTGGGGTGCCACATACAATCATGTTGCTCCCGGTTTACTTGTGAGACTCCTGAGGGTCACGTGTTGGTTCTGGTGCTCACATGTTTGGGGTTGTAGTGCTCTCTAAGGGTTGCATACGTGAGCTGGGGTGTTTGCACACACTTGGTTGTGATATGTCAGAGATGACACAGTTGTGGCACCAGGAATCACAGTGGTAGTGCTGCTGAGGTCATCCTCAGCATGTGGAGCAGTGGCAGGGGTCAGACTCTCACCCTGTGCATTGTACCACTGAGCAATGTCCAAGAACCAAAGCAGAATGAGTTTGCTCCCGCTCCAGCCATACCTAGTGGTGCTCAGTGCTATGTCTGACGCTATACTTAGGGGTCTCTTTTGACATGTTAGGGGACTGTGCAGTGCCAGGGATCAAACGCGGGCTTTCCGCATGCAAAGCATATACTTTAGCTCATTTAGTTATCTCTGCAACCCAGCATGAAGATTTTAAAGATGATGAACTGTAAGATTTAGACCAAGATCACAAAATACGCCAGGATAAATTCTTGAAGTAAGGGGTATGATTTATATTTTTTAAGTTTAAAAGAACTAATATACAAGAGTTCTAGCAAAAGAGCCTTTGTGTTTGACAAACGTCATCATTTGTCACTAAATTTTAAATACCACTTCCTTGAGTAGGTGCTCATTGTATGAGCCTCGATGCTGTTTGCAGTTCCCTCTCTAATAGTCGATCTTCTTCCGTAGGACATGGTCATGCCTTTTACCTAGTACCAGTTTGCTTCATTGCTACCCATTTTGTAATTCTCACAACTTGT